GGCCTGGTCGACAGCGGCAAGATCAAACCCATCCCCCTCCACACATTCGACATGAGCACCGCAGACAACGTCACCGGCGGCATCGCGGCCTTCAGGTTTATGCAGAGGGCGCAGCACATCGGCAAGGTCATCATACAGATACCCTCAGCCATCGCACCGCCCCACACAGACGACGCACAGCGCCACGAGGCGACACCGGCCGACCGCCAAACTGACGGATGCTACGTCATTACCGGAGGGCTCGGCGGACTCGGACTCCTCGTCGCAGACTGGCTGGTGGAGGAGGGAGCCAAAAATGTCGCTCTGCTATCCAGGCGCGGAAAGCCGACTGATGCCGTTGCTGCCTCCGATCTGTGGACGAAGCTGACGGCGCCCGAGCCTCAGGGCCGCTCCAAGGCGGCCATATACTGCATGGCCGTGGACGTGTCCAAGAATGACGAGTGCGAGAAGCTGTTCGCTGACCTCAAGAAGAAGCTGCCCAAGAACCCAGTCCGTGGAGTCTTCCACGCAGCTGGTGTCCTTGACGACGCTGCCCTCAACAACCAGACCAAAGACAAGGTGGAGAAGGTCTACTTGCCAAAGGTTAGTGGGTACCCGAACATGAATCGTTCCCAACGAGGTTGTTGACTCATACCTTTCCTCTGTCGTGTGTGTGCAGGTGATGGGTGCATGGTACCTCCATGAGCTGTCCCTCGGCAAGAAGATCCCTCTCGACCACTTCATGATGTTCTCGTCCGTCGCCTCCCTGCTCGGCAACTTCGGCCAGTCCAACTACTCGGCGGCCAACTCGTGTCTGGACGCCCTCGCCCTCTACCGCAAGTCGCAGGGCCTGCCGTGTCAGAGCATCCAGTGGGGACCGTGGATCGAACAGGGCATGGCAGCCGAGCTCAAGCAGCATCTCGACAAGGTCGGCATGCGCGGCATCACCAACGAACTCGGTCTTCGTGTCATGGGGGACGTCATGCGGCAGCAATCTTTGGCGCCTGGTATGCGCGGGCCGTCAGTGGTCGGCTGCCAGGGCCTCAAGTGGGCCACCTTCCTGCGGCGGTATGGCGACATGCCCGCCTTCTTCTCAGAGATCCCCATGGCAGCGTCGGCCGAGAGTGGCGGTGGCAAGATCGACCTCAAGGCCATCAGCAAAGTGGACCTGTCGGGTCTGCTGAGCTCGCTGGCGCAGCAGGTGTCGGGGTCTGCTGAGAAGCCCCCGACTGACGCACCACTCATGGACCTTGGTCTCGACTCACTGGGGGCTGTGGAGTTCCGCAACTCGGTTGCGGAGGTGACGGGCGTCAAGCTGCCGCAGACACTGGTGTTCGAGAACCCGACCATCGAAGTGATTGCCGACTTCATCCTCGACACTGCCCACGGGCGGCCGACCAAGATCGGCAAGAAGGGTGATGTCGACAAGGTGGAGGAGGTGTCAGGTGTGGACAGGGAGCGGCTGGCGGCGGCGGGCGACGCGGCCAAGGACGAGCAGGGCAGCGGCAAGGCGCCCTCATCGACAGAGGTCGACTACCACGACATGACGGTCGAGGAGTGGCTCAAGAGCGCCTTCAGCGGCTCCAAGCGCTACCTCCAGTACCTCGACGTCTTCGAGGCCAAGTACCCATCCGTCGAGGCCATGGCGCAGGAGACCGACCTCCGACTCGCACTCGACGTCTGCCAGGTGCGGGACGAGGAGGACTTCAGGCGCCTCCACGACTCGTGGGACAAGATGCGCTCGTCCCTCGTCAACGTCTCCAGCTCCGACGAGCTATCGCCACTCAACGGCGCCGCCCCGGCAGCGGCACAGGACGGCGCGGCGACCGACTACGAAGAGGCCATCCGAGGAGTGGTGGGCGGTGGCAAGCCCCGAGAGAAGACGGTCGACCCGATGGACGACATCAAGGACCTCACAGAGTGGCTGCAGTTCGACGTCAACACCCTGCTGCCCATGCGGCACCCCAAGCAAGTCAAGAACGTGCTGCTCACCGGCGTGACGGGGTTTGTCGGCCGCCTGCAAGTGGTATGCCTGCTGGACCGGCCGGGGAGTGAGAACCTGAAGGTCACGTGCCTGGTGCGGGCCAACGACGAGAAGCACGCCATGCAGCGCATCCGCGACGCGTGCAATGAGGCCAAGGTGTGGAAGGAGGAGTACGCCAGCCGCATCGAGGCGCTGCCCGGAGACTTCACCAAGGAGGACCTCGGCGTCGGCGAGGACAAATTCATGGAACTCTGCCGAACCATCGACATGGTGACTTGCACAGCACATGCGCAGCACGGGGTAGCAGTGATCGAAGGGTTGACTGACATGTACTCTCTATGTGTGGTTTCTTCGTTCATTCAGGTCCACCACACTGGCGGCGATGTCAACCTCCTGAGCAACTACGCTCGTCTCCGTGCAACCAACACTCTCGCCCTCAAGGGCGTCTTGCGGCTGTGCACCACCTACCGCCTCAAGTCGCTCCACCACGCCTCCACCCTGGGCATCTTCCCGGCCTTCTTTGCCTGCTTCAGCCAGGACTTCGACGACCGTCTCATCACCGAGGACTCCTCCCCCGACCCCAAGGAGATGCAGAAGTTCTACCCTCCTCTCCGCATGGGCTACCCCTGGAGCAAGTGGGCCGCCGAGCAGGTGCTGCGCAAGGCTCGCGACATGGGCCTGCCCGTGTGTGTGTACCGACTCCCCAACACGTTCGTCGGCTGGCGGACAGGGTACACCAACAAGGGCGACTACGCCACGGCGCTGACTATCAGCTCCATCGAGGAGGGCATGTTCCCCGTCGGCGCGTCTACGGCGCCTTTCACACCGGTGGACACCATTGCTGAGATGCTGGTAGGTCGCAAAGCTAGCCTGTGTGGGGGCTTCGATCGTCCTGTCAATCGAGTGCTCTGTTGCGTGTCATTCGTTGATCGTTTAGGTGGAGGCCTCGTTCCTTGAGCGGCGGAAGCACTGGCTATACCACCTCATCGACACAACCGTCGTCACACAGTAAATTTACACGGAGGGCTCAATCGAATGCATGCATCGATTTGACGTATCGTATCCTATGTCCGTGTGCAGGGGTCAGCTTGAGGCGTGGGCAGACGAGCTGGGCATCAAGTACTATGGCGTCAAGATCGACACCTTCCTCGACGCTGTCAAGAAACGTGGTCCCGAGTCGCCCGTCTTCAAGTTCGTGCCCCTCATGCAGCACTGGCGGTCCTACTGGTTCGACTGCGACGAGCGGACCGAGCCATTCCCCATCCGCACCCAAAACATCTTCGACGAGCTCCCACACATGGCATGGCCGCCCGTCAAGGACATCTTCCGGGCCTCCTTCCAGTACCAAATCGAGTTCCGCTTCTTCGCTCCCAAAAGCAACTCCGTCAGGATCGATGTTGACCACGCACTCGAGTGCGCGCGGAAACACACCAACGGCCTGCGGGAGTTCGCGACAGAGGCTGAGGGTGAGGACTTCTACCTGGAGTCGGCGCGGCTGCTGGCCCAGAGCGCCAACAACGACGTGAAGCTGTCCTTCCTCGGCGAGCTGGTCATGTTCCGCAAGTGCCGGCAGATCTTCAAGAACCTGCTCTTCATGAAGGAGATGGCGCGGCTGCACCCCGACATAGAGCGGCAGCAGATACGTCAGCCGCTGGTCATTGTGGGGCTCAACCGGACGGGCACCACCATGCTGCAGCGGCTGATCGCAAAGGACCCCGCCATGAGGACCCCCATGTACTGTGAGATGAACTACCCCTACGGCGAGGACGGCTCTTACAGACCGCACAACGTACCCAACGACGCCCCATGGGACTGGGACCAGGTAGGTTTCAACACCGGGCCACATGCCGCACGACCACACGAGCACCGCTGACGTGTGTGTGTGTACACGTGTCCTGTAGGATCCCCGGCTGGCCCCTGCGCAAGAGGAGTTGGATTTCATCTGGAGCATGAGCGACGACTGGATGCGGATCCACGCGCAGAAGGCGGACTGGCCGGATGAGGACTACATGATCTTCGAGCACTGCTTCCGGTCGTACTCGATATGCGTCGAGTTCGGGTCATCCGAGTACAAGGACTGGCTCTTCAAGGACGACTGCAAAGAGATGAAGAACGGATACGCCTTCCACAAGCGGTTCCTCCAGCACCTCCAGTGGCAGCGGGCCGGGGACCGGTGGCTCCTCAAAATGCCCTTCCACCTCTGGGCACTCGACGCACTCTTCGAGGCCTACCCAGACGCACTCGTCATCCACACACACAGGTCCGTCGTTCGGCACGTAACCCTTCACCCCCGCTCACATAAATTGTCTTGTGTTCTGTTTGGTCGGTGTGCAGAGACCCGAAGGACGCTGTGGCGTCATGGTGCAGCCTGGTGCGTTCGGTGCGGAAGAACTTCATGGAAGAGGTGGACCTCGACGCCGTGGGGCAGCAGGAGCTCGACGCCATGGCCTCCATGGTCGACCACTCCATGCACTTCCGCGCGAGAAACCCCCACCTGAAGAAGCAGTTCTTCGACGTCCACTATGACGATTTGCTGGGCGACCCCGTGGGGACGGTCAAGAAGATCTACAGGCACTTCAACATCCCCGCCACCAAACGGGCCGTCGACAGGATGCAGGCAATGGTCAACGAGAACCGGAAGAACAGGGACAAGTTCAAGCACCCCTACTCGCTCGAGGACGTCAACCTGACCGAGGAGGATGTCAGGGAGACCCTCAAGAGGTACTATGACTCAGGGGTCTGCGTCAGGCGGAAAACCGGCTGGTTCTCGTAAAAACAGCAGGGAGGTAAAAGCGGTAGGGAGGTAGGAAGGGGAGCTGTGTTGTGTCGTGTGTCCGTCTGGTTTATGGTTTGTTTTTCTGACGGAACTGTGTGCGGTGCAGTGAGTGGCCTTTCTTATGTCTTTATCCACCCACCTGTAGGATTTTTCTGGCTGGCCGGACGGCCTGTTAGGCTGCCCGGCCGGCTGCCCCGCCGATCTTTTACCCTCCCTGTCTCCCACTTGTCGGTATTGTTTATTGTTTTATGCCAGAGCTGTCTGCCTTTCAACACCCACTCATTGTAAAGGCCATCGGTCGGACATCGTAGCCGTCTCTCTGAACACCTCTAGATAGAGAGTAAGGAGGGGTCATCTCATCGGTCTGTCTGTTTGTGTGTGTGCCGTTGTGTATGTGGTGTGGTGTGGTGCTCCGTGTATTGTAAGTTATTGGATGGATATCGCTCGTGTCTCTCTGTCTGTCTCTCTGTCTCTCTGTCTGTCTGTCTGTCTGTTCGTTCGGTGGTACTCATGGCTTCGTGTCGTGGGCTCGTGTGCGTGTCGCTGGTATGTATCTAAACCCCTACTCACTGACTGACTGCGAAAGAAAGGAGTCGCGAGCATGCCGACCGGCTGGCTGTGTGGCTCTCTCCGTAGGTAGGTAGGTGCCTGAGCACATGGTAGAGGGAGGGCAGGTGGGTGGGGTAGAGAGATAAGAGAGAGTAGATAAGGCGTGTGTGGCTGTTTTGCCAGGTTGGGTGCTGCCTGGAAGCTACCTGGACGTTTTGAGTGGCTGGCTGCAATGTATGTGTCTGTGTGCGTGTGCGTGTGCGTGTCTGTAGGTGGGTGGGTAGGTAGGTCTGTATAGCCAGCCATAATCGACCTTGCCAGCATGGCCAACGTCGTGCTGTCTGTCTCTTCGTGTGTCCTCCCTCATCCATCCAATCCCGATGGCCCACCTACCGACCGACCGATCTACTTACCTACCCTACCTGACACTCTTACTTACTCTACATGTGTCAGTGCAGGGCACGTGGCGGGTGTGGTGTGGTGTCTTGGTTATTTATCTCACTCATGCTATCTATGCTTGTGTGCGTCGTGTGCTGTGTGTCTTGTGCTGTGGTGTGGTGTCAATGACATGACTGACTGGATGGATGGAACCGAATGCATTGCCTGCACTGCGTGCCGTGCCAAGAAGACAGACAGACAGAGAGGTGGGTTGATTGAGGCGTGGCCAAGGTCGAATCAAAAGCTCCCGATTCCCTCGCTGCCCACCCACCTCACCCGCCCACCCACACAAGACAAGACAAGACAATGAACCAAGAGAAAGAATGAATGCGTGTGCGCGTGTGCGTGAGGGATTTGATCATCGACTGGTCGTGTGTGTCTGAGTGAGCACCAAACACTTCTGTTTTTTTCAACAAACACTTGACCATCCCATCCTCTTAAGGCACTACCTACGCTAACTAAGCTCACTGACTGCACGGCGTCGCATGCATGCACTTTTTTCGCGCACTCGGCACGCCACACTCACTCTACCCCACCACACCATGCAGAGGAAAGGGCATGTGTGTCTCTTTGTGTCCTGCACACGTGCGTGCCGTGCCGTGGCCCCCAGCACAGCACAGCACGCACCCATACTCGGTTTTTTCCAGACTGTGAGTGAGCAGAATAATGCGTGTGTGAGTGTTCGTGTGTGTGTGTGTGTGTGTGTGTTGGCTGCGTGTTGTTGGTGTCGTGTGGTGTGATGTGGTGTGTGGAGTCTCGTGTGTGACGGACGCAGCTGCCAACAGCTGGTGAGATGTAGGTGTGGTGCCCCTAATTCAACAAACAAACAACTTATTATGCCAACCCCACTGTACATGTGTGATGCCAGAACATTCAACGCAATCCATCCACCCATCCATTTTGGTCTCATCAGTCTGTAGCTAGGCGCGCGCACCAAAAGAAAGAAGGCTGGGCTGGCTGGACACAGAAAAGTCCCCACACACGTGACGCACTTACACACACATGCACACACACACACACACACACACATGACAAGTCCGCACGCAGCCCACCGAAGCTATCCATCCATCCATCCATCTGGCGTGTCTGTCTGTCGTCAGTCAGGCAGGTTGTTTTGTATCTTATCTATCTATCTATCTATCTCTCTGCGGCCCGCCCGCCCCCACTCCCTCCCTCTCCTCCCTCCCTCATTCACACACATCATGATGCACGTGCACGTACGAACCAGTCCGTCCCCCGGCCGCTCCCCCCTCCCTCTCACTGCCTACACAGTCTCGTCCCCCTCCACCACCTTAGTGCCTCCCTCCTTCTCACCCACCGACCCTCCTCCTGCTGCTACTGCTGCTACTGCACTGTCGTGCTGCTGCCGTTGCTGCATACGCCCCTCCTCCAAATCGCCGATATCGGCTGCTGCTGCTGCTGCTGCTGCGTTTTGGTTGTTGGCATTAGCGGTCTTCTGTGCCGCTCCTGCCGATGCGTCGTGAGATGTGGTGAATGGGAGCCACCCACGCAGGCCCCCGCCAATCTTGGGGCCGCCTCCGAACGAGCTGCCGCGACGCCCGAATGAGGGGCGATTGGCACCACCGACACGACCTGCACAACAGAAGGAGACATGTGTGCATCCATCCAGCCTGGCAACCGCCGAGCACTCACTCACCGTTGCTATCCTTGTCTTTGTCTGGTTTGTTAAGCTTGCTGATGGCCTCGAACTTCTGCACAAACGACGCAACACCCACAGAGGGCGGCCGCTCCACCACGCCGCGAGACTCACCCACACCCACTCCCACTCCCATACCCACACCCACCTCCCGCCCCGCAGCCTCAACCACACCCACACCCACACCCACACCGGCGTCCCCCTGCACCACGTCAGCTGCCGCCGTCACACCACCAGCAGTATAGGCATTCACTCTGGGCAGCACGCTGTTGGCCCGAATGTCGAGCTTGGGCGAGGGCCTCTGACGGATGGGCGATGGGTCCCGGCTGCGGGGCGTCGGCGGCACGTGGCACATGATGTCGTCGTTGGATGCGTCCAGCGCGTCGATGGAGCGACCGGTGCGGGCTGCTGGTCGGGGGAATACGGGCACAGAGGGGGAATGCAGAGGCAGCCTGGGCACCTTGGGGTGGGCGGTGTAGTTGGGTGGCGGACGGATGCTACCCCTGGGGGCAAGGGAAGCAGGCAGACAGACACGACGCCAACACAGCACATATGAACAGATGTGGGCAGGGCAGTTGGCTGTCTGGTCTGTCTTCTGCATTGCATTATCTGTCTCGCTGCTTGCGATGCGTACCAATCGACAAGGTTCTTCTTCTCCTCTCCTACTTTGATGACAGTCTGCTGCACCACCCCACCCCCTCCACCGCTCCCAACCACCCCACTACTCTCCTCCACCTCCCGCCCCTCCACTCGGTGGTCGTCTTTGACACCACTCGCACCCAGATGCTCGACGACAGCTACTGCTGCTGGCGCAGCGGGCAGACGAATGCCCTCGCCCTCGCCATCCCCATTCCCCTCTCCCTCCTTGTTGTCGAGCGGAATGCCAAATGAGGGTGTGTTTCTGCTGGGCGGCCGTGGTCCGCCCTTGAGGCGCGTGTTGGCGCCGGAGTCGTCGGAGTGCGTGTGGTAGTGCTCGGGTGTAGGTGTACGGTGGTCGGGGGGCTGGTTGGGCTGTATGCTGTGGTTGGTGTTGTTGTTGTTGTCGAGTGAGAGGGGAGGGGGGAGGGGGCGGATGGCCTGGGCCAGAGACGCCAGCGTGCGGCCCTTCATGATTGGTGTGACGCCACCCTCACTGAATGACACAAGGAAGGACACACAGACACACACATCATGAATCAGCTGGACGGTGCCGTTGTGTGTGTGTCAATGCGCCGTGGTAGCTCACCTCCAGTACCCGCCCAGCACTCCATACTCATCGTCTGCGTCGTGCTCCGTCGTGGAGACCTTCTCCCCGTCTGCACCGTCCTTGCCCCCATGCTTGGACGGCGTCACGTTGCCCGCCCTGCGCCCACGAGGTGTCATCTCGCTATCGCTCATCGCCTTGGCCCCTTCACCGTCCCCTCCCTCCACACCCTCACCCTCACGCACACGGACATGTTGATCATCATGGTCGTCATCGCGCTGGTTGGGTGCGGTCTCGGGCACCGGTGCGAGGCCGCCCTTGTGTGGTTGCTTCTGGCGGTCCCCCCTCTCCTCGTCGCTGGCCGCCATCGACGACGGCACGTCTGTGCTGATGGACGTCGACCGAGAGAACCAGCTGCTCAGGTGACCGAAGCTACGGCGCAGCAGACGACGCCCACTGCCAGTGGTGGTGGTGGTGGTGGTCGTCTGCATGCCGCTGCCATTGCCGGCCGTCTTGCGTCGGCTCCTGCGCTTGCCGTCCATGGATGTGAGGAGGTTCTGCATGGCCTTGGCGTGTCCGTGGGCAGCGAGGTCGTGTCCCGCCAAGAGGGCAGTGACGCTCTTGCTCTCACTCGCGCCGTCGCCCTTCTCCGTCTCCCACCCGTCTGTCGCTATCGGGGTGAGGTGGTCCAGCCGGGAGCGGTGAAAGACCTCCCCCACACCCACACCATGCTGCTGCTGGGCCGCCTCGCCATGACGGCTGCCGAACAACACCTGGTTCATCAACGCTGCGCGGTCAGCCGTCTCCATGCCGCCGCCCTCCTTCTCGCCTTTCTGGCTGATGTCTCTGTCCTCCACCTGTCGGTCCCCCTCCTTGGCGTCCCCCACCTCTCTCTTGTCCCCTCCGGCGCGGAATCGGGGCGGGACGGCGTCACATCGCGGGAGGGAGGGGGGCGTGTGTGCCGACTCGCCGCCCTCGCTGCCACCGTACTGCTGCTGCAGGAACTGACGCGCGGATGAGGGAGACGGCGGGCTGACGTCCTCGAGGCTGGCCCGGATGGCCGCCATCAGGTCGGGGTCCTCGGTGTCGGGCGACGGTGATTTCTCTTCCTCTGTGGCCTCCTCCTTGGGCTCCTCCTTGGTGGGGGTGACGAATGGCTCCGGCACGGTGGGCTGCTCACGCATCAGTCGGCTCTCCGGCTGAGGCACCGTCATGGGCGAGAAGAACTCGGGCGACTTGGCCGCATGGGCAGCAGGGGTAGGACCTGCCTCGTACTGACCCTCTTCCTCGATCCTCTCCAGGTCACCGAAGCTACCCACTCCCGACCCCGCGGCCTTTCTCAGGTCACTCGACAGTGCGCCATGTGCGTCGGGAGGCTGCTGCTGCTGCTGCTGGGGGTGGGGCTGCGGCTGGGGAGCCGGTGGCGGTGGGGGGCCATAGGCGTACGAGCGTGGCACCGACTTGACGTAGCGGATGCCGCCTCTGCCGGGCGGCAGGGCCCACTCTGGGGTGGGCTCGTATGCGGTGCGGCCGATGGCCTCGGGAGGGATGTCTGCATAGCGGGGAGAGAGCATCTCCATCTGCCGCTCCAGCGTGCCAGACCGGGACAGCGCACCAAGGCCGACGGCCGAGCCGCTCATAGGGCGCTCCAAGCCAACTCTGGGAATGGACTGCTGCGTCCGCAGAGGCTGCCTCGCTGCTTCGTGTGCCAGATGGGCGCCCGCAGCACTGAGTGCGGTGCTCTGTCGGGAGAGGTGTAGTTGTGTGAGGCTCTGGTTGGTGAGGTATGGGCTGTGTCGGGTGGCCTCGAGGGCGAGGGGGACGAACTCGAGTGTGCCCTTGACGCCGGCTCGGTCTCCCGCGTATTCTCGTGCGATGGATGCGAGGGGCGAGATGTTGCAGGCGATGAGGAGGGAGAGGATGGCCCACGAGAACGACATGATGATCTGGCCCACACCGAGCAACAAATGACCTCCGGAATCGCCATACTCACTGAAACCATACCACACCATACGATGCAATCAATGCACACACAACGCATTCGATCCATCCCGCCCCGCCATGCATCTTCTGTACTGTCTCCCTCCCCCACTTCCTTTGCCCGGCTCACGTGTATGTGTCGAATGATGCTGCGACGCCCGCAATGAGGACGCCCGCTAGGAAGAGCTGCACGGCGGCATTGGCGAGCTGAGTGCGGGTGCGGCGGCTGCACGACGCTAGCAGGGCCGCAGCCAACGCAGCTGCAGTCACCAACGCCGCCGAATAGTTGTATATCTGCAGACAGATACCACACCACACCACACAAGAACAACAAAACACATGTTTGTATGATGATGCGATGGGCCTTCGCTTTGTGTGGTGGGTCGGGTGGTTCTCCAGCTCATCTCACATTACTGTACTGACCCAACAGTGCACTCACCATGAAGTTGGCATATAGAAAGGAGACCTCCGCCCCCAATAAAGCCGAGTGAATGAGCCACATCGTATCTGTCGCCATGGTCGTTCGCCACAGGAGCCCAACCGGCACCGAGATGGGACGATTCCTCGGGTATTGCTGGTCAGATCTGCAGAAACAAACGAGAATACGACATGAATGCGCTCCTTTTCTCCGCCTTTTCTCCGCCTTTTCTCCATTGTCCGCCCCCACCTTCAAAGTATCAGTCCTTCGATCAGGAATCTTGCACCACCAGCCACCCAAACACCACGGCATCCATCGGAGTGGGGCAGGGACTGGCTAAGATGATGTCAGAATCGATGCCGATGGCGGCGTATTGCCGGTTGGCACCGAGCAGCCCATCAGCAAACGCCAAATGGTGAGGAAACAAAGGGAAAAGGATAGACGTGGCCGTCGATATTGTGTTTCGCGAAGCACTGAGCCGAGTCGAGCTCGCACGAGAAGTGGGGAAGGAACCAGCAACGCCATGTCTGTTCGCAACAGCAGCATTCTCGTCGCGCACACGCCGTCCATCGGTGTCAACCCATTCATCCGCCGCCTCACCGGCCACACAGCCCCAACAGATGACAACAACCGAGGCAAACCATCACCCGCATCCCTGCTGCCGTGGCGCATCGAGACCAAGTACTATGAGGCCGACGTGACGATCATGACAAGGCCTCTGGCGATGGATCATCGGCCGCTGGAGGCGATGGAGGCCGACAACGGTGTGAGCATTGAGGCGATTGTTGCGGTGATAGAGGAGGGCGGGCTGCGGGTGCTACAGGAGGACGCGGGAGTCATGACGCGGCTGCGGGAGTGGGCGGACAACGATGCCGACAAGATTGCTGTCGTGGCTTGCGAGATGGAGGAGGATGACGGAGCGGCCTCGGCTGACCACCTCCGCAGCTGGTGAGTCAGTCGGGCAGACAGACGGACGGGAGGTGCCAGCAGCCAAATGGTGGATTTGTGTGTGTGTGTGTGTGTGTGTGTGTGGTGTGTATGTGTGTTTCGGCAGGTGCATCGAGCACAGCATCGAGCTCGTCCCCTTCACCGAGTCAGACGATTCACAGCCAGCGGGCCCATTCGAGAAGCACGGCATCGCCCGCATCAGAGAGGCGCTCCACTGCCACATGTGGCCGTCAATGAGAAGAAGACAGCAACCAACGTCATCACCAGCACCACCACTGGCAGCATCACCCACACAGCAGCAGGACGAAGGCCAGAATGGTGCCAAGGAGCCCTCAGCACCATCAGCATCGACAGCAGACGCAGCGTCGTCCTCTGCTCCAGTGGATGAGAGAGTGTCGATAGACCGCATCGCGCGTGGTTTGCGCGAGGGCAAAGACTGTGGGTGGGAGGACCATTGCGATGGGGACGACCATGAAGATGAGAGAGACCACCTGCTGGCGGAGATGGACCGGTGAGCGATCGCGCAAGCGCTTTGGCCACACTGACCCATGTGTGTGTGTGTGTGTGTGTGTGTGTGTGCAGGTTGACGGAGAAGATTAGGGCAGTCCGGGAAGACGGCGCAAACCTCTCGTAAGACCCCATACCACACACACAGGCGAAGCACCCACCACTTGAGTGACGTGACGTGTGCATGTGTATGTCTGTGTGCCGATTAATGTCAGTGACGAAGCCCGTCGTGAGCGTGCGGCTCATGTGGCGATGGAGCTGTCGCGCTTCCTCGGCGAGGCGGACAGCGACGAAGACGAACGAGACAGCAACGACTGACTGACTGACTGACTGACTGACGAGTGCCGGACTGGGAGGGAGGGGTATGGGTAGAACTGGCTCTATTGACAGCGACTGTGTGTGTGTCTGGACATGAACACATCAACACAGTTCATGCCGTGGATCCCTCCAATCCACCGAACTGCTCAGGCGTCTGGCGTGGCGTATGTCTGTCTGTCTGTCTGTACAAAAGTCCCCTTACGTATTAACACACGAACACAAACCCATCTCAGCTGAATCTACTAAGGTGACCCGCCGGCCACCTTGTGCTCCTTGTGCTGTCTGTCTTCGCTACACTACACTACACTACACACACGCCCACAGCCGGAGCTCCCTGTCGAGGGCACCTGAATGAACAAACCACACACGCACACGAAGGCCCATGCAGACGTACATTCACCTCAGCACATCAAACAGGCCCGCCCACCTGCGGCGATGAGCGGTGCGGGGTGCTTGCACGCCACACAGGTTACAAAGCCCTTGGCGCCATCCAGTCTACGCACACAGTATCCTGACACACACACAGGCAACACATCAGACAGACAGACAGACAGACAGCCATGGCACCCCTCTGAGCCAACCGACGAGGCACAAGTGACATCGTACCTGAGTTGACGTCGTATATGTGGATGGTCTTGTCGTCGGAGCATGACAGCACGTAGCGGCCCGACGGGTGGAAGCAGATGCCACGCACCCAGTTGGTGTGGCCCTCCTGTTGGGTACGGGACACACACACACACACACACAACGTTCGTCTGTGTGTCGACGGGGTGTGGGGCTGTGTGTGTGTGTGTGTGTGTATGAGCTTACGAAAACGTATAGGCAGGTCTGCTGCGATATGTCCCACATGCGCATGGTCTTGTCGCGCGAACCCGAAAACAGCACCATCGAACTGCCCACACACCCGCCATCACCTGCACAATCAGAAACACACACACACACACACATACACACATGTCCGTCCATCCATCCATCCATCCACACACACGAACCGACCAGTTTGGCTGGTCTCGTCGCTGGGCAGGCCCTCAGATGTGTCCGTTGTCAGCTGCGCACACACAGACGTGTAATCCAATCCACGAGACGTATAGATGTGTCAGTCACTCAATTGAAGGCTTACCATCCGCGAGGGAGTAGAGGTCACCCCCCCTGCTGTGGACGGCGGTGCTTTGCTCGTCTGTCCGTGTGCGTGTGCGTCCCTGATCTGGATGAGGGTGGGTTTGGGGGCGAAGGCGACGACCTCCACCACATGGTCGTGCTCCGTCAACTCGTGCAGGGCGTGGGGCGCACTCAAAGACCACACTCGTATGCTGCACATCACATGCACATGCACAGCACATGGCCAACACAATCAGAAGATGCAGACGTTTCTCTCTCTCTCTCTCTCTGTGTGTGTGTGGTGTGGTTGATGCTTAGTCACTTACTTGTGATCGTTGCTGCCAGATGCGAAGAGTTTGCCGTCTGGTGCGATGTCGACAGTGCGGACCCAATCGGAATGGCCCACGTACGTCCGCACGCAATACCTGCAGCCGTCCATCCCCATCCACACACACACATACGCACCATCGCACGTCGTCTGGGCTGCCTGCCTGCGTAGGTGTGCCACCCACCCGGTTTCGCAATCCCACAGCTTGAGTGTGTGGTCTCGCGAGCACGACACCAACTGCTCGCCGGACGGCACGAAACGGACTCCCTGCGCCAATCCCACCAGAGGCATACACAACACACACACACACCCGGATAGATCTGATCTAGCTAGCGGCTTGGTGCGGTGTGTGTGTCTTGGCTGGTGTATTGTCTTGTCTTGTTTTGTCTTGAGCACCGAGACGGTGTTGTCGTGTCCGCGCATGGCTTGGATGCACTCCATGTGGGTGCTGTCCCACAGACGGATGCTCATGTCAGACGAACACGAGGCAAACCTGTCAGTCAGTCATACCCACATAGACGAAAGAGACCAGACACGAACCGCCATGCGATGCGCGCCGCTGGCTGCACTGCACCTCACCCACCCACCGCACCTGTGGCCGTGTGTGTCGAAGTGCAGGTCGTTGACGGCATCGGTGTGCCCCTTCAGGGTCTTCTCCAGCCGTCCATCGCTCTCGTAGTCCCATACCTACACGCCAGCACCTCACCCCACCTCACCACACACACACGAGTGCCCACCAACCTTACCTTGATGGTGGCGTCGTCCGATGCGGTGAAGACCAGCGAGTATGTGGGGTGGAAGGCCACAGCAGTGATGCCCCCCCGGTGGCCGCACAACACCATGCTCGCACTTGCACCCGATGCCGGCAACGCATCTGCAGCGCACAACACCCGCCATGGATAGCATTGTGTAGTGTGCGTGTGTGTGGTCTTTTCCCATTCCACAATTGATGATGCAGATCTCTGTTAGTTACCGGGAGGCGCCCGGAATTTGAATGCGCCCTGCAGCTGCTCTATCTGTTCTGATAGGCGGTCCCTCTCCTCCTCCAACTCGCTGATCCGCACCTGCAGCCGCAGCACTGCACGCCACCTCTTGAGCAACACGCTCTCCGCGTCGGGCCGAGGCTCATCCTGCACCCATTCAATCCACATACACACATATCACAACACACCCATCCCATACGAGATCTTCAGTTCTAATGGGCAATGCGATGGAGAGGCTGCCTGCATCGCATCTCTTCTCCTACGCTGAGGCTTGCGGCTTCGTGGAATGAGTAGGCGAGTTGCGGGTACCGCTCCTCGAGGTACTGCCGTATGGCTACGTCCAATGTACGCCCTGTATCATCCTCCATCGGGAGACCAGCGGGAGCCACGTAAATGGAATCCTGCAGCTCGCAGATTGTGCACGGACAATCTTACCCTTAACCCACATGTCACACCAACACTCGCCATGCGTATTGGTATCGCTATCAGTCGAGAGTTGTCCTTGAGAGGCCGCCCTTTTCCTTCGCGAGACTATGGCTCAAGCTATGGCTGAAGAGCCACAGCCACCGTCAGCAACGCCGCTGGGCTGCACACACTACAGGGTACACACGCTACCAGCACAGCGCCAGACATCAAGAATACCGCCTCATATCTCTCCCTTTCGCCGCTGCCTGTCTGTCTGTTTGTATGCGGTTGTTGTGTGTGTGTGTGTGTTCTGCGGGTGGCTGGCTGGGCGTTTGGATGCAGCGGGCATGCAAGGTGGTGTGTCCGGAGTGCGATGAGGTGTTCTGGTGCAGACACTGCCACAACGCAGTCAAAAACGGCGGCGATACGCCGCCTGACCAGCAACAGTGAGCATCAATCAGTCAATCACCACCACACCCACCCATCTGTCTGTCTGTCTGTCTGTCTGTCTGTGTCACTCAGCGAGTTGGACCGGTTCAGGCTGCGTGAGGTGGTTTGTATGCGGTGCAGTGAGCGGCAGCCGGCAGGGCCGTCGTGTGTCAAGTGCAAGCAGCCCTTCAGCTCCTACTACTGCGATAAGTGCCACCTTTGGGACGACGGCGCACATCAGAAACAGGTGTGCAAGCAACAAAGAAACGCGATCAATGGGCTGGGCGCTCACACACACACACACACAGACGACATTAAAACACACCTACCTGTGACGTGGGTTGGCTTGTTGTTGGTGCTGGTTGGTTGGTTGGCTGGCTGCAGACCTTTCACTGCGATCGGTGTGGCATCTGTCGCGTTGGAGGTGAGCGACTTTGTGTGTGTATGTCCATTGTGACGTTTGCCTGTGTGGACAGGATATATCAGATGTATGTGGTCGGTCTTTGTGTGTCTGAATCGAATCAATCAGGTCGTGAGAATTTCTTTCACTGCGACACGTGCGGCAGTTGCTACCCCGTCAGCATACGGGACACACACAAGTGCATCGGTACGAACCAAGACGGCAGGGGGGCTACAGACACTGACTGACCGACCAGTGCCATTCGCCGTGTGTGTGTGTGTGGTATCTATCTGTCAGAGCGTGCGATGCATCAGGACTGCCCCGTGTGCCTGGAGAATCTGTTCAACTCCACGCGGGTCGTCACCATACTCAGAAACTGCGGACACACCATCCACCAGGTCCGGTGCGGTCACCGCACTAGGAGGGTGTCTGTCCGTTGATTGAGGCGCATCGCATGGCATGTGGTGTGTCCTTTACAGGAGTGCCTCACTCGGTTAACGTCGGATTTCTCGGGCCTGTCGTCGCTTCGCTGCCCTCTCTGTAAGCCATTTTGTGTGTCATGTGGGCATTACACCCGACACGCCCCACGCTCAGTTGTGTGTGTGTATGTGTGTGTGTCCGTTCAATTAGGCAGCGCGTCCATTATGAGCAACGACTCACTATGGCAGCAGCTGGACGAGTAAGCGCAAAAGACAGACAAGGCAAGGCGGACGAAATGACTGACGTGGATGTCAGTTAAGTATGTGTGTGGACCATTCATATATCGTTTTGTTGTCTGTCTGGTCTGCAGACAAGTCCGGAACACCCCCATGCAGGACGAGTACCGAGCGGACGTCATGATCACATGTGGGTAGCGCACCGCAGAGGCTACGAGCTAGCGTCATGGCCATCCCATGACAGTGTGGGATGGTCCGATGTGATTGATGTCTGTGTGTCCCATCCTGTCCATCCCATCTGTCAGGCAATGACTGCTCGCGGCCCTCCACCACCCCCTTCCACTTCTTCGGTCAGTCAGTCGCAGACAGACGCAGACGACTGACTGGGGACATTGACTAGTGCCTTAGATCTCTCTCTCTCTCTCTCTCTGTGGTCGTGTGTGTGTGTGGTTATGTCAGGTTTGAAGTGTCAGAACCCCAGTTGTGGTTCTTACAACACCAGGAGAGTAGTCTAGTCTAGTCCGAGAGAGACGGGGAGGGAGGGGGGCGGGTACATTTATTCATTGCGACTGACTCGTCGGTGTGTCGATCACTCTGTATAGCAACCTGTCCTGTCTGTGAGACTCTCTGACTCTGACTGACGTCATGACATGCAATCATGCAACACTCTCGCCTGAGTGTGTGTGTCGCATCACACACACGTCACACATTAGTGCGGCTCAGACCCCACAGCCCCGCCCATCCGACTTTTCCGCCGCTGATGGCGGGCCACTTTGCTCGCTGCTGCCGCGTAGTCCGGTGGCGGCCGTGCGTGTGATCGGTAGACGTCATCCAGCACATCGCACAACTCCAGCAACAACTGCAGAGACACAAAGAAACACGCTCACATGACATGGGCAGACGGAAGGCACCTCCGTAAGGTACGTTGTGTGTCACGACGTGGGTTGCTCACCCCTCACTCTCACTGACCTCATGCTCCCTCATCTCAGACTCCGCAATGCACTGCTCCAGGCTGGCCATCACCATGACGTCACGGCCACCCCACCAACTCGTCCCTCCCCTCTTACCCCCCGCCCCCCTCGCCCGCAAGTGGCTGCATGGCCGTCTCCTCCTGGCTGCGTTGCCGACACATCCATCGCGGCTGCCTCTCTCGTCATCCACGGGCTCGAGGGAAACATGCTGGCGTCGTTTTGCCTGATGGTTCCTGCCGTCGTGTGACGGCTGTTGTGCTGGTTCAGGAAGGGGGAAGGGTGGCTCTCTCCGTGTGCTCCTTTTGTTCTTCACTTGGCTGCGGCTGTTGGTTTGGTTGTCTTGTTCGTTGGTCGCGTATGTGGGAGCGTCCTCCTCGGTGTGTGTCTCTGCCGTGGGGATGACGCTGTCTCGGTCGGTCGGCGACAGCCACGATATAATCCGCTCGGCTGAAGGCTCCACATGACCACCACCAATCTCCTCCTCTCTCCGTTGCTTCTCTCGAAGGGCTTCTTGCTCTCTCTGCTGCCGCTGCTTTTCTTCGATACGTCTTGGTTCTTCCTCCCTGTCTCTGTCTTGCTGCTCTTTGGCAATGCGTCTGCGTTCGTTTTCTTGCTGTCTCCGCGTGTGCAGGACGCGCCGGGCGATGAGACACCTAGCAGCTGTCTGCAGGACGATACACGCCCTGATGACATGCGCGGCACACATGTGATCTGGTGGCTGAGCTCAGCGTGTGTGTACCAAGCTGCCCTCCCGTCCATTCCATCCACTCACTTGTGTCTCCTTCTGGGCAGCACCACATGCTTCAGGTGATGGTGGCAGGCCTGCGCAACAGCGAGAGCTGCACCACACGCACAGGCATTCATTGTACTGGGTGTGGTGTGGTGTGATGGCTCTGTTCTGTGAATGTGTGACCTCTTCTCTTCTTGGCCCCGATGAGGAACCTGACGGCCGCGCGGACGCCACCGAGCACCCTCTTTCTCCGCTTCCGAAGCCACAGCACAAAGGTCTCCTCGGCCAAACGACGCCGAAACTGCACCGCACCCATGAGGGCCATTGCATTGCTTCCTTTGTGAAAGCATCATATAGGCACCGTACCTACCTTGTCATCGGCCGTGTGTTGGATCTGCTCCACCAGCTGCAGCGAGCCGAGGCGGAAGAAGGCCTGTGTGAGCCCGAGAGTGCAGTCGCCTTTGGGTATGTTGAGGAATGCCGTGATGAGGTCGGCGAAGTCTCTTGGTGCGATGCGCGACTGCATGGCGGGGTGGAGGAGGTGCTGGTATCGACTGTGGAGGGTGGCGTAGGGCAGCCGGCAGGGGAAGCCGCGGGCCATTACCTCCAGCACACTCACCAAGCCGCTGTGTGCAGTGAGTAGACGTGCAGACAGACAGACAGAAATGTGTGGAAGGATGGATCGTTTGTGTCAGTTGAATACCTTTCCTCGAGCTGCTCGTAGACCTTGGAGCGGTCGAAGACGAATGCCAGCTGCACCGGGATCAAACAAAGGCACATCATATACCATACAGGAGTGATTGATGTCATGTCTCGGGGTACATGGATGGATGCCCCACTCAATCAATGCAATCAATGCACGAACCTGTTTGACGTTGGGCTTGACACACCGGATGAAGTGGGGCGTCTGCAGGCCAGGCCACAGCCATATCAATCACTTCTTCAGCCTTGGGTGTGTGAATGTGTTTGTGCTTACTGTTGCCCCGAGCGTCTTGAGCAGCCGATCGACCTGCCCCACGAAGTTGAGCCCCGCCGACTTGTGCCTCCCGCCCGCACCACCCCTCCCCTTCTCATTCGATGCAGTCGCAGCAGCACCGTCCTGCGGAGCACAGCCCACGATCCCCTTGCACTCAGCCAGCAGATGCTCCAGCTCTGATGAACAAACACAGTCACTACACTATCTATTGTGCATCTCCCAATTCAATTCTTGTAAGTATTTTGCGCTGCATGGGCTGACATCACATCTTTCACCTGGTGGGAGGTTGTCGTTGTTTTGTTCTGTGAATCCGTCTGCATCGTATGTGACCTTGCCGGCGAAATGGAACACGCTCAAGGGGTGGGCCGATCTCGCTTGTGACGCGTCGCGTGTGGCGCGAGGAGGGGGCGACACCCTGATGCGGTGGGAAAACCGGCTCCCCAGGCTGCTCGATACCTGAAGGCATTGGAAAGGTGTGTGGATAGATGGATGGATGGATGGATGTGTGTCTGACAGCTGAGCAGAAGAGTGCGTCTCTGCTTGCGCCCTTGTTGACGGGGCTGCGTGTGGCCTCGTCCAGCAGATGAAATCTGCCTGGCGTCTCCTGTGTGCCTCCAAGGCACTGAATGAGGTCGGCATTGTCACGGAAAGGCGCGCTGGGCTGGAAAGGGAGACCCTCACTCCTGCACACGTACACGGGTGCGTGTGTGCTAGGAGTGAGTCTCTCTCCTTACTTGTATAGCTGTTGCTCGGTGCTGATGGTGGCGTGCAGGAAGTGCTGGTGCAGCAGCTCGTTCAAGTAGTTGATGCACAGCTGCTCAAAACCGTTGCACAGGTGCGGATTCTGAACGAGACAAGCAAACGAATCAACGCCATGACTGACTAACAGCTGCCTGCAGATTGAGATTGTGACTGACTGACTGACGGACCAGGTTCTCAAAGCCAAAGATGTCCAGCACGCCGATGAACAGACTGGCGGTATCGTTTTCGTCGTTTCCATCAGATGTTGCGTCCTTGCTGGCGATGTCTGCGTTGAGGCTGCAGTTGATGAGCCCCACAATGTAGGCGAACAACCGCACATAGACTGTCTGACACACGCGCAGACGTCAGTTCATCTGCGTCGTGTGTCAATGTGGCCGACTGACCTTTGCGAGATCGTCCCGCGCCCACTCAGCTGCCTTCTCTGCAATATATCAACAACCCCCCAAGGCATCAGACAGGTGCGTGTGATTGTTCCTGGCTCACTCACTGCTGAGAGTCGATCTGGTTTCCCTGACTCCTCTTGTGGTCAGCACCTGCTCCAACAGAGCATACCCCCGGCTGCCGTGGCCCTCATCCGCAGCACCATCTAGCCCTAACCACACCATCGCACCCACCTTGCTTATTTGCGCTTCTTCCTTCTGCGATATGCATCTCCCCACCCACACACCCACCGAGTAAGTGAGCGGCCTCTAGCAGTGCCTCCTTCCCCTTTGGCCCCACAGTGCTGGTGGCCTCGTCGCCCCCGTCCTCGTTGAAAGACACATTGCCGAGTGCCATGACGGCCGCCAGGGTCCGCCATATGCTTTGCTGCGTCGAGCGGTCCACACGGAACGCCTCAAAGGCAGCCCTACATGCCATGCACACACATAGACAGACAGACAGACAGACACACAGACACACAGACCATCCCCATGCACACGAAAATGCTTGTACGTTCAATCACCATGAATTACTTCATCGGTTCCCTCACTGTATGTTCTCGAGTCTAAAGAGAGGGAGGCCAGCTGGAGGGTCCTGCCACGCACAGACAGAGCAAGGAATGAGACACGATATCGATCGACAGCAGCCATCCACCTTGGATTGCAGGTATGCATAGCTCTCGGCCTGTCTGATCGGCGGCAGCAATGGGTCCATCAGGAGGGGCTTTGATGGCCTGTTTGGATCGGTCGCCGCCTCACACAGGGAGTAGAAAATGTGGTAGTTGCGCTCTCGGCTTGGCACATACACCACCTGCAGCACAGACAGGCAAAGCCACCCCTTGCGAATGAATGAGCATCCAGGTGTGCGTGTGTGTGTATCGGCCCCACCCCACCCGTGATTTGGCAAGTAGGTACGTGTCGATGGAGGCGCCCCTAAGCTGCCCACTCGGGCTCATGCACAGCCGAACCAGCTTGCCTGGAGGTGGTGCGCACAAGAAGCATCCATCCATCCACTTGTGTCTCTCCAACTTGCGTGTGTGGGCTGCCCAGTCGGCTGGCCGGCCAATACACTGCACTGCACCAACCAAATCTAGAGGAGTTTGGATTGCGCACCGTGTGTGCGTTGCCGAATGCCTCCAATATCGGATTGCTCTGCACACACACACACACACATGCAGGGCCCCCCACACATGCTGACAAACATGGATGTATGTTTGTCAATCGAGCTTCGCTCGTTGATTGACCTGCAGGAGCCTTGAAGCGAGGTCGAAGCCCTTTGCTGCCGGTGGCACGTCGCCCGCGTGGGTAGCCGCTGACGTCAGGTACCGAAGGACGTGCTGCATTGCATTGCATGCCATGCAGACAGGAGGAGGTTTGTGCATAGCAACCAACACGAGCAGGCAGGACGCACACAAGTATGGCTGAATCGCTGGATGACCTCTCTGGCAGGCGCACCTTGGCCGTCTCTGTCTTGCCCGACCCGGACTCCCCGCTGCATACACCGACCGGCCGACCAGACCATTGGTTGCTTGTGTCTCTTCCTCTGTCCACGGCTTTATGCGTCCTTTGCTTGCCAGTGGGCACACCTGATGATGATGCTCTGAGATGTCCGCTCTGCCTTCAGCTGTTTGTATGAAGCCTCAGCCACAGCAAAGGGGTGGGGGTCACGCAGAAGGCCTGCCAGGCCCCGTCCGTAGTAAGTGCGCATCATGGCCTCCGAATAAAGCGCAGGTTTGCTCTTGTTGTCTTGGCCTTTGCTGCCCTCACTAGCGGGACAATGGCTGTGTTGGTTCAGAGAGGAGAAGGGATTGACAGCCAGCAGCACGCCGCCCACTGCTGTCTGCAGGCAACCATGAGAGTGCTGTCTGTCTGTCTGTCTGCCTGTCTGCCGGTTGGATCATGAATCTCTCTCTCTCTCTCTCTCTCTCTCGCGTACTTACGTATATTTGGTGGCACAGTGCCGCCTGCTGCCCCGCCTGTCTGTACCGCCGACGCACATTCTCCAGCAAATTCGCCACGTTCAGATAACTCAACTGCACCCACCAAATAAAACACACACAGATACATATCCCTCCATCCAATGGCATGCATTGCATTGATTGTGGGTCTGTCTGCACCTGCGTGCAGTCATCCACAGTGCCCTCCACATCCTCCAGCAGCACCGGGTCCACCCGATACACACATGCACCGGCAGACAGCCGCACCAGCTGACTTCTAGCGCCGCTCCCCCCCTTGTTGCTATGAATCACCTGCCCCTCTGCATCACGAGTGATCCTGTCCCCAGATGCGTCACTGCTCACGGCCGACTCATGCCCGTCCGGCAGCTGCACCATCTCGAAGTGGCCGCTCTCCTCGGCGCCATTGCAGATGTGCCACACAGTGAACGCCGTCTCCATGCTGTTGTGCATCAACCAATCACAAAATCAATCTGCAGGTTCGACAACAGTGCAGAAAGGACCGTTGCGGAGGTGCTGCAGACACAGTGGAAAGGGACCGTTTTCCATTTTCCGGGGAGGTGCGAGCTAGGAAAGATCTGCATCCCCAGGGCAGTCTTTTATCATGCTTCGTTCGTGCTCGCGTCCCGTGACGCGCGTCCCTCCCCCTCCCGCCCTCTTCGCCCCGCCATGCAGTGCACATCCGACGCCACACACACCGACACTAGCAGTAGCAGCAGCGGCAACAGGACCACTGCGGTCCTGCTTCCCTCATGACAACACGTCCGTATTTGCTGCCAGCTGCTTCGGCTCATCTCTGGGCAGTGTGCGGACGTTGATCAGGAACCCCTTCTGGCGCAGGAGGGGCTGGCACCCGTAAGTGTTGGAAATGGCATGGCCTGCAGCGAGGGAGAGTATGTGATGTGCGTGTGTTGTGTGCATTCATTCATCAGATGGCGTCGGCGGCTGGTGCGTCACCAGAATCTCGACCGCCGCCGGCGAAGGCACATATGGCCGCGATTTCCAGACCCTGAGGAAGACCCGGTCAGTCAGTCACTGCACACATACATACACACACACACACATACTAGTTGGCCATTTCCCCCACTCGCGTGGATGTTATGTGCGCTCCTGTCTGATGATCTGTGTGCAGCCTCGTTCAGGTCCACCGCAGACGTGGTCTTACAAGACCCGGGTCCCGCTGAAGCTCAGTGCCAAGCGGCTCACGGCATATGCCCGGCTGGTGGGAGGGAGGAGAGAGGAGAGAGGAGAGAGGAGAGAGGGGCAAGTGGACACACAGGCGTGCATCAATACATTGTTTGTGGTGTGGTCTGGCGTGTGGTGTGGTGTTGTGTGTTGTGTGTTGTGTGTGGTGGATAACATACAGATCAAGGGTCTGCATCTGCAGGACGCCATCGACTGGATGGCGGCCATACCTGTGCACCGACTACAGCCCGTTTTCAACACCGTAAGAACATTCTTCATGTGTGGACTGGCGGACGGACGTTGTGACAGAGCCACTAGTCCGTTGTGTGTGTTTGCCTGCCATGCAGCTCCAATGGGCGCAGGAGCAGCTGTCGCACAAGTACCACGCCGATCCGGGGAGGCTCTACATCGGTATGTATGCTGCTTCAGAGAGAGAAGCAGGGAGGGAGCGAGGGAGAGTGGGAGGGAGAGTGGATGGATGGATGGATGGTGTGTGTGTGCCATCCATGAATGCAGCAAGCATCATGGTGAACAAGGACAATCCCACGCGATACCTGCGAGTCACAAGAAGTAACTGAGATGCCACCACGCTAATGCACATATATGTGACTCCACGCTGTGTGGTGCCTCCATGTCTGTGTGTGTGTGTGTGTGTCAGAGGACTGGGGCCGTATCTGCAGCTGGAACAACACCATGGTCATCACCATCAAAATGGTCGGTGGGGACGGACGGACGGATTGTTTCCACACAGTCAGTGTATCTGTATGTCTGTCTATCTTTGTGTGTGCAGGTGTCCTATACTGAGTTCTTTCATCGGCTGTACATTCTCGGAAAGGTGCTTACCACAGACAGACAGACAGACGGACGGACGGACGGACACGTGTGCGCGCCTGATGTGATGTGCGTGCATTCATCTCATCCAACTACGTGTGTGGTGTCTGTCGTCAGGTGCCTCGCAGCATGTCCACTGACATGCGCATCGCCATCAAGGAACACAGAGTTGGTACGTCACGTCATCCCATCCTCCCACACACCCCAGACACACAGACAGATACGTCACACGTATACCATGCCCCTAGGTGCTCACGTCATTCGCGAGTGGTGGCCCTACCTGGCCTCAGACACAAGGCTCCAACACAGAATGGTCAGCCGACCCACCCAACAAAAAGCTGCCGGCCGCCTTTGTTGACTCCGGGCACCCGTCGATCTTTCTCTGCCTGTGGGTGTCCCTGATGCTTGGCTGCAGACGTTGAAATGGCTGGACAACACGCGCCAGTTCGACTACTACGGCGTCAGAAGGTTAGAGTGCACCACATTTCGCACCAGCAGCATTGATCATTGCGGCCTGTGTGTGTGTCCGTGCCGCCCCCTCTCTCCCTCTGAGCTCAGAGACTGGATTCTCCAGTACCAAGCAAACCTACTCAGGTACATGCCCAATACCCACACCGACAAGCCCCCGAACAGTCTACGGTTTTTTCGTCTGTCCGTCTGGTGTCAGGCGCTTCAACGAGATGCGCAGTGCGCGTGGTTTGGAGAACGCCGTGACGCTGCGTCAGGCCCACCAGGCGCCCAAGAAGGAGCTGACGCGCAGGCGGGGCCCCATATCAGACCAGTTCTGGCGGCACACGGGCTTTAAGGGGCAGGAGAGGGTCGACACCAGCACCTCACTACAGGAGAGAGACAAGAGGCCCACCAAGGGCAATTGACCGCATGATGCTGACGTGTTTGTACCTCCTCGGTGTTAGCTGCGGCGGTGTCATTGCTGGTGAGGGTGGACCCATTGTTGCCATTGCAACGATGGGTCCACCCTGGCCAACAAAAGAGCCAACGTAGCTAACATCGAGAGACAGGAGGTATCAGCATACATCAATGACGATTGAGTGACTGTACAGCCCCTGTCTGTGGCACTCATCTCTCTCTGTCTCTCTTGACAAAGACACCATCTGACTTGATCAATCCTACTGACCACATGCCTTCGGTCCAGCCCATTCCCTCATGCATCACTTCCTTCCTGACCGCATTCATCTGCTGCCGCAACTCTTCAGCTGCCGAGCGCATGTCCTGACACACGTCCGGTGTAGACCAGCTGCTGATCGATGGCTGAGTTTCCTTCCATGCCTAGCCTCTTTCTGATGGGTGTGGGGACAAATGGGTCACCGGGCCGGCCCAGGTGGGTGGGTCTGTTACGTGGTCTGTTCGTGCGTCTCGTCTCGTCTCGTCTGTGTGTAGCCCTCCATCTCTTCATATCTACGTCGATCTACTGCATGTGTCAGTCACTATGTATCTATCAGTCCGGCTAGCTGTATGTGTGTGCCTCCATGGCAGAGTGTGTGTATGACAGAGTGACTGTCCGCGTGGTGAGTGAAAGTCGACGTACGTGCATTGCACACCTCTCTCTGTCCCATCGATCGAGATGCATGACAGTCGGCCATCTCACATCACATGCCGTCTGTCTTATCGTTCATTTGCCAATGCAGAAGTCTCTGAATATGACGTCTAATATCTCCTCCACATCCACCGCACCCACCACACGCCCCAGCGACCGGACAGCAACACTGACAGACACATACAGAACACACACACAGACAGAGAAACGGAGGGATATCAGAACAGAGTGGCGCGAGTGTCAGATGTCTCTGTAAGTAAGGGGTCGGACTGCCTCCGTACCGCAGCTCTTCGCACGCCAGGTCGAGAGGCATGCTGGGGTCATCTGACACACAGCGGAAGGAGAACAACGGCGCCAAGAGACGGATGGCTGCTCGGATACTCTTACCCACCCACCCCCCCCGTGTGTCCACTCCACACCTTTGAATCGCCTGAGTGCCTCCACACAGCTCTGCAGGTGCACCCGGTGCCTCTCACGAGTGATGATGACATCCACATCACCCAACCCACCGCCACCCGCCCTGCCTGGATCGCCGTACACGGCCTTCTGCACCACCTCGCCCAGAGCCCTCTCCACACCATCGATGCCGTCTAGTTGACCCATATGCACATCACCCAGGTTGGCACCGATGTCGATAACAGGGCAGCTGGCGGCAATCGTCTCGCATCGCTCATCCGCCCACTTGCCGCCCATGGTCTCTCTGATGGCAGTCGTCACTCTTGCGAGCAGGCCGCCTGTCGGCTGCTGCAGGTCGGCCTTGTTCAGCACCACCAGCAGAAAGGACGGCCCCTCGCCATCCATCTGCATGTCCCGCAGCGGCTCGATCAGCCACTTCACGCTGCCACCATGATGGTCATCACCCGGCGCACCTGACGCCCTGACAGACAGATCCAGCACCAGCACGCCGATCTGACATCCCTTTAGAGCCTTCCAGCTGCGCCGCATACCCTCCACCTCCACAGGATCGACAGCCGCCCTCTCGTCACCATCACCATGGTCATTCACAGGACCGCCCTCCCTTATGCCAGCCGTGTCGGTGACGATGACAGGCACACCAGAGAGGTCGATGGGCACCTCGATGAGGTCACGAGTGGTCCCTGGTGTCGACGACACGATGGCTGCGGGCCGCCGGGCGAGGGCATTGAGGAGGGAGGACTTGCCAGCGTTGGGGGGGCCGAAGAGGCCCACTCGGACACCGCTGCGGACGATCTCGCCCCGCCTGTTGTCTTTGAGGGCCCTCTCCATCGACTCAACAAGTGCATCCACTCTCTCACGCACACGCTGCACGACACGACACACATGCCATGTGCAGGTGCAGCTCTCGCTGTCGTGTGTTGTTGATCTGCTTGTAGACCTGTCTTCGTACCTGCATTGTCCTCTGTTCCTCGACATCGTTTTGGACGTCGTCGTCACCGAAGTCAATGGCGGCCTCCAGCCATGCCAGCGCCGAGGTGAGCTCGTGCCGCCACCTCTCGTAAACCGCACTGAGGCCGCCCCGCATCTGACGGATGGCCTGCTGCCGCTGCGACGAGGTGTCAGCAGCTATCAGATCAGCCAGACCCTCAACCTGCATGGCATGGCACACGGCATGCATCAGTGGACCGACGACACACCGACCGGCCTGCGTGTCAGGTCACCCACCTCACCTCCATCAGGTCCAGTCTGCCATTCTCGAAAGCCCGCCTTGTGTACTCGCCCCGCTCCGCCGGACGGAGACCATCAAACCTCACCCGAACCTCACCCCATCCCTCCACCAGAGCGTTCTGCAGCCTCCTGAAGGCCTCAAACACTCCTTCGATGACCGCCCGGCTTCCGTGCAAATGAAGCTCCACAGTGTCGTCGCCAGTGAAGGAGTGGGGGGAAGGGAACCACATCACCAGGCCCTGGTCGAGCAGCTCGCCCACCAAAGGATCATAGATGCGGCGAAGGACGGCCTGTCGGGGGGGAGGGAGGGGTCTCAGACCGTGATAGGGGATTGCATTGCTGCTGCTGCTGCTGCAGGGACGAGTAGAGGGGTCGGTCGTCAGCAGCTGCAGGATGAGAGGTGACAGCGGGCCGCTAATGCGGATGACTGCCACGCCGGCTTTGCCAGAGCCCGATGAAAGAGCGTAGATGGTGTCATCAGCGGCATCCTGACCAATAGACGACTCTTCGAGGGAAGAAGATGCATGGCCCTGTTGGACTCTGTGGAGAGCATCAGATGAAAGCCGCCTTCGCTTGCGACTCATCGCAATGAGCGGATGGACGAATGATGAGAGGCTGCTGCCTTGGTGACGTCGACCACCACCTGCTGTCACAGCTTCACTCAGTAGGCAGACGAGGGCCACAAGGGTAGTTGAAGTGAAGAGCATGGTGGTAAGCAAGATCTCCCATTCATTCTTCAAGAAGAGCGCTTGCCACATTCACACGCATCCTCAAAAAGAGGCCTGTCATCTCCAGGAGGAAAAGGTCAAGCTCGCAGATGCCAGATCGCCCCGCAGAGAAGCAAAGACGAAGGGAGAGGTCCAGCAGGCCGTCGGAGGCACATCGAAAGTTGATTCTTCACCGTAGCGATGGCGATAGTGGCGACGTCTCGTTTCCTGGACAGCCTGGTGATGGCTGTGTTCCTCATGAGCCTGTCGGCGCTGATGCTCTTCCTCTTCGGGGAGTTCTACAGCATGATCGTCGACCCGCAAAAGAACTTCGGCAAGGCTGGCATGGTCAGTCAGCAGAGGGCGGGCAGGCAGGCAGGCAGGCAGACACCCCACCTGAACGGGTGTGTCTATTGTTACGGTGATCTTTGTCTACTGTCCATCTGTGTGTGTGTGCTTGTGTGTGTGTGTTTGCAGGTGTTGCAGAGGATATTTCCCTTCAAGCGGTCGTTCGACTACAACCTCACGCACATCCTCCTCTTTTCAATCCTCGTCTGCCTGCTCAGCCTTAGGTGACCAACACAACACTCACACTCCCGCATCGCATCTAGTGCGCCTGTGTGCATGTGCCTGCTATGTCTGTCTGCAGAGAGGCGCCGCCCGCAGGTTATGAGGAGGAGGTGGCGAAAGACAAGGACAGCAAGGACAAGGAGAAGGAGAAGGCGGGCGGTGCTGCTGCTGCCGCTGCCAAGGACAAGGACAAGGAGAAGGAGAAGAAGAGGGGCAGCTCCCGCTCGCGGGCAGCGGACAACGGCACCGCTGCCGACCCCACACACGAGGACTAACAAATGAGAGGGTGGTCGAAAGACAGAAGAATTTATGTGTGCGTGAGGTGCCAGCTCGGGTTTTTTTAGTTGCGGGTGAGAGAGTCAGCGCGTGACCTGTTTGCAAGACTGTCTCGCGCGACTGACTGAGTGTGATTGATTGATTGATTGATTGACATACATCATCATCGTCACAAGCGTCGCGTCGCGTCGTCATACATAGTATTTGAGATGCACACAGCGACCTTTCAGCATACAGCACGAGAGAAAAATCACAGCTCTCTGCTCCCTTGTTAATCGCCTCGCCTCCATGGCACCATACATCCGTCTGTCTCATCACACATGCAGTGCAGAGAGACGAACGACATAAATGAGCCACCCACCTCATCTATCTCCTGTCTGTCAGTCACACGAGTGGCATCGCCTCCGTCGGCTCCACGTTGCGCCGCACCGCCTCCAACCCGCCTTGCAGGTTCAGGAAAGTACAGCCTTTCTCCTCCCTCCCCTCTCCTCCCTCTCCTCCGCCGCCCTGATCGTCATCAGCCTCTTCCTGGAAGAGGTCTCTCAGCTTTGACACGGCCAATCTCGAGTCGTTGCCACGCCGACACACCACCACATACGACACCGGCGATGGAGGGGCCCCCCTGTTGTTTCCCCGCGGCCCTCGCAACCTCGCCAGCAGCTCCTGAAACACACAGGGGTGGGCAGTCATGAGCTGCGTGCTTTGTGTGTCGGCACCTCTTTGGATTGGCTGAGTATCTGGTCAATGGGAAGGTTGAGGGAGTGCCTGACGTGCGACACGGCGTAGTGGGCGCTCGGCCGCACATCCACTACAGACACGGCACCCAGACCACCATCACCACCACCCACTTGCTGCTGGTAGGTGTTGTCGTCTTGCAGAATGGGAGGCACCCGTGGGGGCGCCGACAGGTTGGCCTCACTGGGCGGGTGCCGGTGAAGATGCGACGCCAGCTGTGAGGGCTTGACGTGGGCAGAGGGGGGGAGGGGGGGCAGCAGGTCGGCGGGGCACATGTCGATGTAGTCGTCAGGAGAATCCTGATTGACACAAGGAGGATAACATGTTGTGTGTGTGTGTGTGTGTGTGGTGCCAGCATATTGTGTGTGTGGGCTTGCAGGTACCTTACCTGGAGAGAGGATATTGATGGGTGGTCGCCACACACTGCCACAAAGACAACACCATTTACACGCGATAAACGAATGAATGCGCTATATGCCATGTACCCAATCGCGACACAGCTGCCAGCTGTGCAAGGTAACGTACCTGCACACGTGGGTCGTTTGGTGCGCAGCCTGATGGACCGAAATGGACCCTCGGCGTCGAGCCCGTCATACATGACCATCCTGTTGCTGGCACCTATGCTGTGGTCGCCCAGACCGCCACACACCTTCAGCACCTCCATCGCCTGCACCAAGGAAGCACTCAATCGCCAGACACACCACATGCCATCCATCCATCCATCCCGCGTCTGACCTACGCACCTGCATGACACCGATGGTCCCCGGAGCAGTGCCAATGACGCCCTCCATGTCGCAGGCCCCCCCGCCAGGCGAGAGGGCGTTGAACAGCCCCTCTGGGCCGCTCTGGTCCAGCCGGTGAGGGGGCTGCGGGTGCAGGCACCGGTAGCATGGGCCGCTGCGGTAGTTGTAGACCCACAGCTGGCCCTCCCAACGTAACGCGCTGCCGCACACAACCGGCTTGTTGAACAGCACGGCAGCGTCATTCAGAAGGTACCTGACCACACACCAGACGAAGAAAACAGGGTTGCTTTGGTTCGCGCGCGTGTGTGTGTGTGTGCATGTGTGCACCGTGCAGCGGGGTTGTCAGTGCAGTCGACCAGGACGTCGTATTGCGGCACCACACGCTCGGCGACGGACGGAGTGAGGGGCGTGTCGTGGGCATCGATGCGAATCTGACCCAGCATGGCCATGGCAATAACAGATCTACAGGGATTCACTTCTCATGAAGGGTTTCTTTCTGCCCATGTGACTGACTGACTGACCTGTTTGTTGAGGTGCTGGCACGTTTGCTTGGCCGATATGGCCTTGTTGGTGCCGCAGCGGGCGGCATTGTGGATGACCTGCCGATGCAGATTAGTCATCGCCACTGCGTCGCCATCCATGATACCCAACCGACCTGCACACACCATCCATCCATCCATCCATCCATCCATCCAGTGCGCCCCCCTCTCCCTCAGGCCCTCACCGATGCCAGCGGCAGCGAGATAGAGGCAGACAGGTGACCCCAGGCCGCCGGCCCCCACCACCAGCACCGAGCTCTCCTTGAGCCTCACCTGGCCGGCCACGCCCAGCTGCGGCAAGATCAGCTGCCGCCCATACAGCTCCACCTCAGCACTGCTCAGAGCACTCGACCCGCTCGTCCAGAATGGAGCCATCGGCATCTCCCTTGCCCCTGATACTGGTTCCACACCAGCAGCAGTGTCTTGCTCATCGATGCCGCCGAGCTCCTCGAGAGTGATCTGGTGTGTGATTGATGCCTCCTTGGAGCGAGCGTGGTCCTCCAGGATGGAGAGGCTCCTCAGCACCAGCTGCTGCTCCTCCCTCGACGGCCGCCGCGAGTTGCTGACGAGGAAGGACAGGAAGTGCACCCATCTTGGGACGATGTACAGGGCCACGCCGACGCCGACTGCCCGCAAGATCCATAGCTCCCAGTTGACCTTGCCTCCTCCGGGAGGAGGCGATGCTGAAGACATTCCTCTGTGCCTTCGTCAATTGCGCGTCATTATGCACGCAGATCTGGAACCCAACACACGCCGCATTTGGCGAAGGGAAGCGAAGATCTCCCGCTCTTCTGCCTTGCAGCCTCTAAGCTCGCACGCTTTACCGGCAAAGGGCGGAAGATGGGCGCCGCGGAGGACTGCGCAGATGGGATACTGACCACACTGTCGAGAAAAAACGGTGAAATAGCTTGATTCGAATCGCCGCCCTCTCGGTAGCAGTGACTTGTAGTGGACATCAGAAGGACGTCCGCAGGACCATTCATCTGCTCTGTCGTACGGCGTCATGTACGGAAGGTGAGCTGGCACCATCAGCGGGCAGGGCCCGGGCGGCGATGGCTGTGTGTGTGTGTGTGTGTGCAGAGGGCCTGAGCGTCCTGCTGATAAGCCTGCCTGGCTGCTGGGGAAGAAGAAGGACAACAGGTATGTATCGACCACTACAGGCACATCGGCAGCACGAACGATGGATGAATCACACCGCCCCTTTTCCGCTCCGATTCTTTGTGTCTGATGGAGTGGCGCAGCAGCCTGCTGGATGCCATCGGGTGGGTGCGGATACGCCGCCGCTGCCTCTCTATTGACTTCCCTCCCTCTCCACACATATGGATGGATGGACACACGTGTGTGTGTGTGTGTATGTGTGTGTGATGCGATTCAGCAAGCGCAAGGTGGCGAGTGAGTTGACGCTGAGCGATGTGTTCGATGAGGGCGTCGAGTTGGATGGACAACCTGCCCCTAAACGTAGGCACGCAAGAGAATGACACACACCAGTACGGTTTGTGTCATCATGAATGGTGGTTGGTTGCTTTGCTCGTGCAGCCAAGAGCGGTCCCCGCGTGTCTGAGAGTCGGTTGAAGCGCAAGGGACGGCGGGGTGCGGCCAGTGATCGCACTGCCGCACACTCACAAGACAACGACGTGTCGGTCGCATACGGTCAGTCGCTTCACCTTGACACCCACACACAGATTCCCATGCCTGTGTTGGTCTGTCTGTATGTTTGGTTAATTTCGCTCATGCAGGTGTTGGTGGCAGTGATTCATTCTGGAAGACCTACGAGCTCTATGACGAGCTCAGCATCAGTCGCCACGCCACACAGGAAGACATCAAAAAGGTGCGTGGCGTCCGTGCGGTGAGAGAGGTGGAATGCCCATTCCATCAATCTGTGCATAGGTGTCTTCTTGTGTGTGTGTGTGTGTGGTGCATCAGGCGTACCGTCGCGAGGCCGTCAGATGTCACCCCGACAAGGGTGGGGACGCACTCAGCTTCCAGCGTCTTACCACGGCATACCAGATCCTGCTGGTGCGACTCATCTCCTCTCCTCCCTGCACACCACACACGCCAGAAGAAGCCACACTCACCCCTTCGTTGACTCCACCTGTCTGTCTGTCAGGACCCCATCTGCCGCTGCGTATACGACGAGCAGGGCGACGACGCCCTCAAGTTCATCTCCCAGCTTAACACCTCCCTCTCCCAGCCCCCACCCGACGACGACCAGCACCGCCCACCACAGGACCTGGCAGCCATGCGGAAGGCCCTCTACACGCTGGCCGGCGAGTACGGCTACGCGGACGAGGCTGAGGGGTACGATGAGGACGAGGCGAGGGAGATTCGCCAGAGGTATGAAGCCTACTGCTCGGGGGTGCGGAAGAGCAGAGGCAGCGTGGGCACCAGTGGGTCGTCGGAGGGAGAAAGAGGGTCGCACGAGCGAAGGCTGCCCTGGCGTATTGTCCTCAGCAGATACTTCCTGCAGAGTGAGTGAGTTCTCGGATGGGAGGGAGGGTTGCAACGGCAGAGAGGGGGGTGGGTGGCATGGCATGGCACTGTGTTGTCTGTCCTGCACTGCAGCCTTTGCGAATGATCCGTTGGGTCTCTGCCAGCTCGACCCCCTGGAACTGACCGAAGACAACGCAGACCAGCACACCCAGTGAGCAAAGTCTGACACACACACATCCATCCATCCGTCCATCCATCTCTGTCTGGCGCTCCCTCCCCCCCCCCTCCCTGACTAAGGCAAGATGCGGTGACGGCCTACTGCTTCCTGAAGCTGCAGAAGACGGTGGATGAGTACATTCGCCTCCCCTACGTGCCGCCCTCGATGCTCGACCACCCCACCGACGTGACCCGGCTGGCGGGGGCCGACCTGCCCGCAAAATTCGACTACAGATACATGCAGATCATCGGCGCACCAAGCGGGGTGAGTTGTCGTATCGGGTGGGTGAAGGAGACAAGACAGGCACAGGACATTGTGTGCGTGTGTGTGTGTGTGTGTGTGGCCGACAACAGGTGTTGCCTGAGGGTGTGAACTCCAAGGACACGGCGATGGGTGCGGTCTTCTTCAAAAACACCAACATACTCAACAACCTCAAACGTGACCACGCACACACACACAGCTTGCAACCCCCCCTCTCCCACACACCAGACACTGCTGTCGGTTCGTTGATGGATTGCAGGTCGGTGGGAGAGCGGTGGCGTGCGCAAGGGCCTGCGGATGGGCCGCGAGCAGGAGGAAGATCCAGCGCAGGACGAGGCACGCGATGACGAGCAGGACGACGCAGCAGCAGCGATGGGCGAGTCGCAGTTGTCGGATGTGAGCATGGTGGACGCCCCCAATGCAGTCGACTTCCAGCCGCCGCTCGTGCTGCTCTTCCTGCCAAACGACCAGGTCAGTCAGTCAGTCGTCATGGCATAGCCGCGTACTGTGTGTCTAGCTGACCTCTCATCGATGTGTGTGTGTCACATTAATGTGTCTGACAGGTGCCTGTGGTGGATCTTGAGGCGTATGAGGATGAGTGTCGCCAGTGGGACAACCGCGTCGACAGACAGCGACAGAAGAGGGGCAATACACCTTACAAGAAAGGTCGGCCGTCACACACACACACACACACACGCCCACACAGTCTGCTCGTTCTCTGGGGCTGTGTGTGTCAGTGAACGGCCGTCTGCCGAACCAGTTTGCCGTCCCCTTTTTCCTGAACGAGAGCGGCGATTTGTCGAGCAGCCGCCCGTCGGCCATCGAGATCCTGGGGTGCCAGCAGGCGCTCTACGGCGTCGTCACACAAGCCAACAGCAGAGGCAATGCCGGGCGGGTGGGCACTAGCTAATAGATACGTAGGCTCACAGACAGACTGCGAGAGACAGGTGGGCTCGGCGGGTGTGTGCATATATATTGTGTGGTCTTGTTGGCTTCTCGTGACTGTGATGGCCCATCTGCGTGTGTCTGGTGAGGTGGTGACATCTGACATGGGCTAGCTACATGAATGACATGGGCTAGCTACCGAGGCACGGATGGGCCACACGATGAGCAAAGGCCGACAGAGGTGTTGTATTTTGTGGGCTGGTTGGCCTGCCTGCCTGCCTGTATGACGCGTGAAAAGGCGCAGTCGACCAGCATGCGAGATATCCTCTCTGGTCGACTGGGCGAAGTCATGCGGGACAGCATGGCTTGACGCCGGCAGATCTTGAACAATGTTGGAGTGGAACTGAATCTTCAATATTGGTTGTACAACATACATCACATTCACGGCCATTGAACAGAGGCTTTCGTCCATCAAATAAGCCAGTCGCCTTGCGCGAGAAACGGCAAAAGAGCAAATGTCATCAGCAAAGCGAGGGCAAGAAGCCAGCAAATGCTATCCACCCACAAACAACACAACACCAACTAGCACACCCAAAGGAATGAGGACATCCCCTCCCCCCTGTGTCTCTTTCAGAGGCATGTGCGGCGGGCCCTCCGGATGGCGTCGCCATGCAGCGCCATGCGTTCCATCAGTTTGGCCTTGCGCTCCAGCTGGTCCAGGTCGACATTGCAGTAGGGGCACGTACCCCTCTCCACCCGCCATGTCTTGTAACACGACGTGCACACCTGTGACACATGCACACCTCGACGGATGGATGGATGGATAACTTTTCTTGCTTTTGTTCACAGAACGGACCTTGCTCATGCAGCAGGGGTACTGGCGGACGCTCAACCCTCTCATACTCGAAGCACATATGCCACCTGCAATAAGGAGCAGACCCACAACGCACACACACACACACACACGCACACAGACAGAATCACAACAACAACACCGTGTCTGTGCCGCGCGCTCACAGGTGGCATCCCCCTCTGCATCGTCTTGTCGGTTCTCATTCTCGATTTGACGCGGCCGTGCAGCCTTGCGGACCCATACATCCCCCCCAATCACATGACGACGGTACGGCCGGGGCGCAGGTACAGGTCGGGCCCGACGAGTGGACGCCAGGGCCGCGGCGCACCAGTGCAACGCGAACCCTCCGATGACGATAGCCCCGATGCCCATGAGCATGATGGCCGTGGTCATCTTCCACCCGAGTTGACGGCAGGCCTCCACCGTGAGCTCCCACACGAGGCTGGCCAACCCATGGATGATGGTCGGCAGGACGGTCAGGATGATCCTGATCAGGTACCCGGCGATGTTGATGCAGAGGTGCAGGGCCTGCCGCAGCAGGGAGAGCACCAGCCAGAAGACTGACACGGCAATGGACGGATCCATGGCGAAGCTCTGGCGCAGACGAACTGTCGCGGCCTTTCTTGCAAAGGCTGTTGTGGTCGAGGTGTCACTGACTGGTTAGTGGAAGTCGGAATTGGTCCGGCTTTCAGCTCGCCTTTGACCATAGTTTCACGGACTAGCCCCTAGGGCTACTTAGCGCTGCCAAACCCAATGTCACAGCCATCAGAGCGTCCCTTGCAGCACATGAGTGCGTCCCAGTCAGCCGCACACGCCATGACAGCGCCGGTCGATGGCCGAGGGGCATCCAGACAGCACGGCCAGCACAAACAACCCCCTCTCCGACCCCTGGCGCACTATGGCGCCGCCCGCAAGGGCCTTGATCCAGCTCTCAAGCGCTTCTCTCAGCCTCTGAAGCTCCTCGAGGAATTCGAGATCAACCAGGCCAAGAAGAGACAGCGGTGAGCGGCCTTTCAGCACCACACAGGCAGGCAGAGATGGGTATGGGTGTGCACGTGTGCGTGTGCGTGTGTTTGTGTGCTCATCATCAGGTTGCGGCGGCATGAGGCGCACGACCGTCAGGTTGTGATAGGGGATCACAGGAAGGCGCTGGAGCCGTTCAAGACGGTGCGCGACGTGCTGGAGGGCCTCGTGCCCTACCACGTCTACTACACCGACCAGCCGCTGCACTACAAAGGCGTCGACCCAGAGGCTGCCGGTGAGGGAGGTGCCCTGCAGGAAACACCCACCCACACACACATGCATGTAACAGGGACGTATTTGATGGCATGGCATATTGTCTGCGTGTTCTGTGGATCCACCCCATCCATCCATGCCCATGCATGCAGCGGCTGCCGAGGGTGAGGCGTTGCGTGACCGTAAGCGTCGTCGGCAGAAGCTGGAGGCTGACCTCGCCACAGTCATCGACCGATGCAAAGACGAGGGACCTGTGGAGAAGGTGCGGAGTGACAGGGAGGGGCGAACAGACAGACACCGACACGGATAGTGACGTGAGGTTTGTGTGTGTGTGTGTGTGTGGTGTGTGGTTCAGGCGTTGATGGCATCGAAGATAGCAGAGGCGACTGCCGCGAGGCGCGTCGACGAGCGCAAGAAACTCATCAGACAACTCGACATGGTGAGCCAACCGACCACACATATCACGGAAACTGACCCTCTCAGCCCAGAGACCGCGTGGCTCTCTCTCTCTCTGTGTGTGTGTGTGTGTGTGTGTGTAGGAGAACAAGTCGCTGATGCAGCGTATGGCGCCTCGCGCCCCCATGCAGCAGTTCGCGAGCATCCCGCCTTCCCAGTTCCCCACCATGCCGACCAGTCAGTTCCCCAACGCGCCCGTCAACCCCGCCGCATTCATGCAGCCCTTCAGCCAGGGATGACGGATGACAAGTGCGACGGATGGTGGGGGTGGGGAAAGGGGGAGAGGGGGGTCTTCGTCGGTGTTGATTGATGGCGATGTGACTGCTGAGCGATGGTTTTTCCGTTGGCATTGCGCATCTTTCTCTCTGCTGCTTGTCTTGCGCTGCCCATGTTGGTCTTTGTCCGAGTCGGTGCCGCCGCAGATGTACAGGGACTCCAGGAGCGAGACGCCTCTCGCTTCCAGAGTGCGTTCACAGGGCGGGACGTGACCGACGCAGGCACACACCAACACTGACGCAGGGGGATCTATGTCGTTGCCACAGCTAGGCCGGCGTGCATGGATGTCACTGCTGACTCACCAGCAAACGAGTCGGCAATGACTTTCATGGAGGGCGGATCGGCTGTGACGGCGATGCAACCATCAGAGAATGCAATGAAGACGGTCTAGAGCACGCGCCGACAAAACACATTCTCGAAGCTCGCAGTGAACTTGAACCCACTGATTCGCGTCTGTTTCGGCGTCTTCGTTGAGCACGACTCCATCCCTCATCATGTTTCTGTACCTGTACCATCGCCTGAAGGGCCTGTGCAACTGCGTGTATGGCATGTCCGGACGGCGGCGAGGCGCATGCGGCGCACTCACCGGGCAGAAGAGCAACCCCTACACCGACAAGCACGAAGACTTCGAGATCGACGGCCTCCTCACCCACACCGACGATGCGGCGCATGTCGGACCGATGCAGATGCGCGCGGGAGGATCTGCTGGGTCGTCGTCGAGTAGGGAGGGCGCCATGGGGGTGGTCATGGACTCGGAGGGAGAGGAGGAGCCCAAGGCGCTGTCGCAGGTCAGTGAACGAACGGGTCACGGAGGGACAGACCAGATCTCGTGTGCGTGCTGACGACGTGTCGATTCGTGTGGTGGTGTGGTGTGTGTCAGGATGAGATATTGGCGTACATGAGCCAGCGGCGCCAGGGTGGTGGCAAGCGAGGCGACTCGGACAGCCCGACACACGTAAGGAGAGAGGGAGGGAGGGAGGGAGGGAACAAAACACACAGATCTGTCGGCTCGCGCTCCCTTGACTCTCTCTGTTGTTTTGTGTTCAGTCCAAGTCTCGTCACGGCCGCTCGTCCAACCGGCCACCCAAGCCCTCCCAGCACAAGACAGAGCTCAAGCCCACCACATCCGCACAGCAGCAGAGCCCACAGCCCGCCCAGACACAACCACCCCACACAGACGACGACTGGAAGGGCGTCGAGGAGGGCACCCATACTACCCACACGCACAGCCACGCCCACACAAGGGCAGACGCCCTCCATGTGCGCATCGACACCCCACCAGTGCCCGAGACCGCCCCGGCCCCGCAAGACCATCCGGCGAGCAGCTCGTCTGGTGTGCTGACGTACCCGCCGGGCAACGCCGTATCGGCGTCATCGAGTCGTAGCAGTAGTGTGCACGTGACGGGGGGTCTGGGAATGGGGCCCGATAGCAGGGGGGCGAGGAGGGGCTTCCTCGACGAGTTTGATGAGGAGCTTGACGATATTGGTGAGTGAGGACACACAACGGACGGCAGCAGAGCAAGGCAATGGCAGGTTTCTAAGATGTGTATCTATCTGTGTGTGTGTATCATTCAGGTGAGGGTGTGATAGGCGCCAAGGCGCACGAGCAGCCGCAGCCGCAGCAGCCCCCTCCCCCCAACCCCTTCTACCCCCACCATGACACCCACACCTACATGTATGGGGGCGACCCGCACTCGCACAACATAGAGGTCGTGCCCATGGCTGCCGAAGCCAACAACCTGGCCGACTTCATCGACGGCACCGAGGAGGAGATAGAGCCGTCAGCGCGTGCTGACCTCTCGCCACCGATCCCCCTGCTGCACCAGCCCCCACCCCCGCCCCCTCCCTTCTACACGTCACTCAACCACCAGCTGGCCAACGGCACCACCACCACCGCCAGCACCAACCACACCGACACCCACACCCACACCCACACGTCATCAGCAGTAGGAGCAGGCGGCCCCCAGCTGTTCGCCATCCACGATGAGGACGACCACGAGCTGGAGAACGGCATCGACGACGACTTCTTCAGCACATCACAGCTGGACGGGGCCGCCATCAACGGAGCGGCGGGGGACGACTTCGACCCCGACCGAGCCATGGCGGATCTGGATGCATTTATGGGGGAGGGCAAGATGGGCGGGGCAGCGGTCAACGGGGCGCGGCCACACAAGGCCGTGCCCGCCAGTACGAGCACGATCAGCAGCGGGGTACCGACGAGAAATGGCAGTGTGGAGGGGGCTGTGTCGCTGGTGTAGGCAGACAGGCAATGGGTGGGATGGGGTGGTGTGGTGTGTGTAGCGAGACCTGGTGCGTAGGTCAGGCAAGTGGTTAGGGGCTGGGGGGTAGGAGAGGATTGTAAGGGGGAGAGCGGCGGGCCCCTTTCTGATGACACCGTGCGAAACGCATCTTGTACATATGCTCACGCACTCACTGACTGACTAGAGGGGCGTTCTCGATGTGATCGACATGATGTGATGTGATGTGATGTGATGCGATGTGATGCGATAGCCTGCCAGTGAGTGAGTGGGGCTGCATGGCTCATTTTCCTTCCTTCCTCTTGCACTCAGCCTCAGCCAGCGATGGGCCTCGTTTTTCGACGACGTACGTGTAAGGATGTTTTAAAAGCCATGGACGCATCTACGGTTGCCATGTTGGTGTATATATATACTCGAGAGACTTGCTCAGATCGTGTGTCGACCGACACCTGACACTCACCTTCTGCCCTTCAGGTGTCTGTGTCTCACGCTGTCTGTGTCTCACGTTGTTGCTGCTGCTTAATGACCTGGTCGATGCCACGAGAAGCGTCGATTCGGTCATGAAGGCACTGCAGCAAGGGGGACACTGGCAAGTGGACACACCCATGTCAAGAGTGCACGTGTCACTTGAGAAATATATATGCAAGTGTGCTCTGATGGACGCAATCGGTGGTGGACCGATTATGAAGTCCATAATGCGTTGATTCAAGCATTGCTTTATGTAGCCTAAGGCCATGCACGTTCGACAGCACAGACAGACCTACTGAAAGCACAGACAGACTTGGTTAACTTTTTGGGAAGTCTAGACTTTGGGCCCCCCTGGCTTTGGGGGCTGAGACGGCGCATGAGACTGCGATGTGTCAGCACGCCTGCCGCGCCCTCTTCAGCAGTTGCTTGAGGCCCAGAAATGCAGTCATCGATGCCGAAAAGACGTACAAACTCTTCCAAGTGAGAAGGGACAGATGAGGGAGTAAGGGAGGAAGAGCGCACCACCAATGGTGTCTGCAATTCAATTCGTTTGCCCGAGCTGTGGTGCGAAACGAAGTTTGCAGTACTTCTTCGAGGGGGAGAGCTTCATCTCACAGCGGCCGAGCGTCATTTGTGGCGCCTGCAAGACGTCTGTTCTGGCAGTCGGGTTCATCGATATCGACTTCCAAGTGAGCTGTCTGTATTAAGCCCCCGTATCCCCCGTATCTATTTTATCGCTCTGCAGTGCCCAGACTGCCGGACCTTCCAGCGCGCCCGTCTGCCCGCGAAGCCTGTCCCTCTTAGCAGGTATCATTCAATCATTCATTCATTCTGGGCGTGAGAGTCAGTCTGATGAGTTTTCCGATCCATCACACCACTGCACATGTGTGGGTGCGGGTGTATGTGATGTTGGGTGGGTAAAGCAGGTATCGTGTCGCGAATGTCTACTGCACCGACTGCGGCTACAGGGGCCCCGCTCAGGTGGGTAAGAGGCTCGAGATCATCTGCACCGATTGCTGGGCGAGGAAAGACGCCATCGTCGACGCGTGGGCGGGGCGTGACGACGATTTTCGAGAGTTCTGTGACGCCTGTCGGCAGAACAGGAGACATCTCGCATATGAGGTTTTCTTGGCGGACATTTCCACATCTGGCAGGAACTCGAGCATCCAGGCGGTGTGCAGGGGGTGCAATCAGCTTGTGACCGCCACTGCAGAGCAATTGCTGGAGAAGTCTGGCTCCATCAGCTGCCCCCACTGTGGTCACGAGGGCTCGCCTGGCGGGAGACAGCAGCAGCAGCAGCAGAGGGAAGACGCCCCATACACGAGGAAGACATCTGACAGCACACCGGGAGACAGAAAGCTCATCGTCCCACCAGTGGGCATCCCAGCCTCCATCCGGCCGCCATACACACGCGCAACCAGCCGTCTGCTGCAGCTGCCGGGCGCGTCATTTGCCGTTTCGGAGAGCTCGTCAATGGCGGAGAGCAGTGGGGGGGCAAGAGGGTCCAGGAGCTTCATCAGCAGCAGGAGCAGCAGGAGACACAGCTGAAGCATGGCGTGACGATAACGTACGAGAGGAAGAAGGCCAGCAAGAGCGAGAGGAGCCAGGCCAAGAGAATGGGGCTGGAGGGAGCCGGCAGAGTCAGCGGTAGCAAGACACCGACCTGAGGTGTCTGTCTGTCGGGGTGTGCGTGTGTAGACAGATTCACACCTACTGTAGGCTAGGCTAAGTAGATTCGTTAGCTAAGGGGGGAGACATTTGGTAGCGGTGCTTGTGAGTGACTGAGTGGACGAGACGCATCGATCAGTTTATCAGTGGTACGGGAAGGAAAAGGCTTTTGTTTCTTACTTTCTGCGAAAGCGGGTAGTGCACGTCGTATACAGAGTAGCGGCATTGAATGAGAAGCTCCTACTGTCTACCAAACTAGTCAACCGACCATACCATACCATCAACCATGCATCGCATCGCATCGCATCGCATCCAGCCATCCATCCATCCGATCCGACCACACCACCGTCAGTCATGGCATGCATGCATGCACCCTTCATTGATTGCAATCATTGGCCATCCATCATATCCGCCATCACTCTACTTGGTGTTTATTCACATCGTGTGTGTACGTCACGCGTGGGTGAGAGATCGATCGAACCATAGATAACATGTGTTTGTGTGCTGTCGGTCGGGCCACCCGCCATCACACACGCATGCCATGGCATGTGTGTGGGGTCGGGCGGCAGCTGGATGCATGGGTGCGCCAGCAGGCAGGCAGGCAGTCAGGAGGCAGAGGAAGGTACGCGAGAAAGAGAGAGAGGGGGGCAAAACTGTGCCGGCCGGCAGATAATACATACCAACCGCTACACAAACAAGAGGGGAAAAGAGAGAGAGGAGAGGGAGGGAGGGAGGGACCCACCTGACCTGCGTAGAAGGGCCAGGAAGGAAGCAGCATAGACGCTAAGCTAAGCCCCCCAATGGACGATGTATACGAGCACCATCCATCCACCATCACATCAGCACCACCAGCAAGCGCCTCCATCAAGAGACCAACGATTAAACCAGCCAGCCAGAGTGTGTACCTGTCTCTCTCTCTCTCTTGTTGTCTCTCTCTCTCTCCGTGTCATAAATACGGTGAACTCACATGCAGATAGATAGCAAGGGATGGGGTGGCGGGGTGGGGGCGGGGTGGAATGGGCACTACGATCATCCATCCATCGATTGGTTTCATTATATAGTAGCAACAAGCACGTCACTCACGCACATGCATGACTCTCAATCAGAATCATCCACACACACACATACACATTCACATACACATACACAGACACGAACACACACACATGAACAGAGAGGCAGGCAGGCAGGCAGGCGGGCAGATGACACCAAACAAGCAGATAGACAGACAGTTAGGTAGATAGATGCGTGACGTCCCATCGGTTGGCCAGCCGGTGGCCGGCTGGCGCTTTCAACGATGAACCATCAATCACGCACCCACTCACGAAAACCCACCGACCCACCCGCCCACCGACCGACCGACCGACCGAGCCAGCCAGCCAGCCAGCCAGCCAGTGGAATGAATTGTTGGCATCTCAATCGACTACACTTTCCTCGTTCGGTCTGTCCACGCCTTCACACAACGAACGACACTTGACATATAGATCGGACGGAAGGGGAGAGGCTAGCCAGGCAGAAGGGCAGACAGACGGACAGACTGACAGGCGGACGGACGGACGAGGATACATAAGAAATGTGGGCAGGCAGGCAGGCAGGCATACATACGAACTAGGGGTCACCTCATTGCCACTGATCTGATTGCACCGCTTCTCGCTTCCTTCTTTGCTTGCTTTGCTTTCTCTCTCTCTCACTTTGGCCATATATATTCGTCAGTCAGACAGACAGACAGACATACAAACAAGCAGCCAGGCAGCCAGGCAGCTAGGAGGCATTCATTCGATCACGTTGACGCATGGATGGATGGATGGATACAAACAAAGACGGTAGCCAACAGACAGACTTATAGATAGAAATAGCTGGACAGGTAAGTAGCCCGAAACATGATTCCGTCACCACTCATCCATCGACTCTTCGTGTCTGTCACTAGGGTATACCCGCCCCACCCACCCCACTCCCATCCATCCCCTGCCCCATTTCATTCCCCGCCCCCCTCCGCCCACCCACCAAACCAGCCAGCACAGAAATAATTAAACTCGATAGACAGGCAGAGAGCAGTCAGTGAGGCCGCCAGGAGAGAAAGAGAGAAAGAGAGAGAGAGAGAGAGAGGGACAGGGAGGAAAGGAGCCAGGGAGTGAGGCGGGAGTCAGGTTGAGTCAGGCTCATTGATTGATTCATGAATCAGCAGCAGCAAGGACATGCCGGCAAGGACGGGCGGACGGACGGACAGACAGACGGTGCGACGCACACGTGTCTACCTGTCCACCCCTCCTTGGCTGCCTGCCTGCCTGCCTGCCTGCCTATCTGCCGTCAGCTTCCCATCCCCCCGCACCCCGCACCCTGCACCGCAGCCACCCGGCCCCCCACTAACACACGTAGATACGACCTATCCATTGGATGAATCAATCACCAAACACCACCGCCACTATAGTGTCCTGCCTGCCATATGTATGGATCATCCCCCCAACTGTCCCTCGGTCTGTCCGTCCGTCCGTCCGTCCGTCTGTCTGTCCGTCTGTCCGTGTGTCAGTGTTGTGTGGTGTGTGTGTATGTGACTAACTCACGAGCCAGTGTGCTAATTAGGCACGCCCTTTCTCTCCCTGTCCCTTCATGTATCCCCAGACGGGCATCCCGAACCCCGCCTCTATCGAGCTACCTTGGGTACCCAGCTGCCTAACACAAACACACCACACACGAAGGAAGGCATAGAAGGACCTCCTCTCTCTCCCTCACCATGTGTTTGATGCGATGCGTACCTGCTGTTGTTGTTGGTAGTAGGGTGGTGGTGGTCCAGGCATCTGCCCGACCTGGCCCTGCTGCCCCATGCTGCCCACCTGCTGCCCCATCTGGCCTGCATGGCCGTAGTGCGCGGCCGCCATGCCGCCGTGCTGCGTGTGGTGGGCGCCCATCTGCCCCCCGCCCGCCATCTGGTGCGACGTCAGACCCGCCGTGCCGTTGGCCGCCGCGCCGCTCGAGTTGTAGTAGCCCATGCCCTGCAGAGGCCCCATCATGCTCATGCCGGGCGAGTGGCCACCCATCGCAACGCCCATCGCCGCTCCTACCGACAGCACACACAAACACCAGGCAGAGGGGGGAGAGAAGATGAGACGCAGGGAGGGAGGGGGGGGAGAGGCAGGTAGGCAGGCAGGCAACATCAGCATCGCATACACGTGTGTCACGATACAGGTTGATGGAATGTCATGTGTGTGGATGGATGGATGGATGGATGGATGTGGTGAGGTGGGGTGAGGTGTGTGGAGGTATTGCCGGTCCCCTCCCCCAAGCCCGCCCTCCCTTGCTTCTTCTAGTTGCCGTCAAGTTGTGTGGTCAGGTCATCCATACGCCAGCCACGCCATCCACGCCATCACGTCACCCATGCCGATGCAGCCACAGCCACAGCCACCCACACTACAACCAGACCACACAAACAAACACACAAAACCAGACGGACACACAGACAAACCACACACACAGACAACGCGGCCAGGCCACATCCAATCCATCAGCCGTACGGTCGATCGGACGCACGAGTCATACGGCACGCCACTATCTCTATGCACCCACCGACGGCTACCCTATCTATCTACCGGTTCCCATCCCGTGTCCCTCACTCACTCCGCCCCTTTGCGCACCTGTGTGTCCATTGTAATGGGTCCCGTTGTGCTGCGTCGCGTACGGCGATCCCGGCCCGGTGGGCTGGCCTGGCGGTGGCACGGGAGCGTTCCTCCCGCCCCGCCTCGTGTCAGGCGACCCGGCCTGGCCCGTCCCGCCCCCTCCCCGACCGCCGGGCGACGCGCTGGCGCCCGTCTGGCCGTACTGCGGCGCGGCGAGGCCCCCGAATCGGCCACGCATGTGCTCCGGGGGCGGCATGGGCTGGGCGAGGTATGCGCCGTATGTGCGGTAGGCCGATGAGTGGTGGATGGGCGGCTGGGGGTGGGCCTTGGCGTATGGCGAGTGGTCGCCACCCGACTGGTGTGGGTGGGGGTACTGCGGGTAGCCGTACCCACCCGGCTGATGTGGCTGGTAGGGGAAGCCGGGCGGCCCTGTGGCCCTTGGGTGCATGGTGTGAGGGTGTGTGGGGTAGCGATGGTAGGCCATGGCAGCGGCGGCCATGTGGCCTTGCATGGCCGCTGTGTGTCGGTGCTGTGCATAGGGGTAGTAGTGCAGGGGTGAGTATCCACCTGACGAGAGGGGGGCGCCTGGACTGCCGCCGCCGAAGTGGGGCGCGCCGGGGCCGCCACCATGGACGTGACGGTCGTTCTTGCCCAGCGCCGCGAAACTCACAAACGTCATACGACCTGATCGATGGATGCACCAACGCACACACGCAACACAGGAAAGATGGGTACACTCACTCCGTGTGGGGCTGAGGATTGTGTGTGGTGTGGTGTGGTGTGGTAAGTGGTTCGTGTGTGAGTGTGCTGACTGACCATCTACGATCCTCTGTGGTTGCTGCACGGCCCGGATGGCGTCCTCCGGGCGACTGTACACCACAAAACCATAACCCTTCGACCTGCCAGGCCAGACATCAATCACAGCGTCCACACAAATGGCATGAAATGGGAGGGCCGATGTCATCTGTGTGTGTGGTGTGCTCACTCACTTTCCGTGCACGTCTTGTACGATGACGGTTTCCTCTATGTCGCCGAACTGGCTGAACGCGTTGGCCAGCGAGTCCTTGGTCGTCTTGTCGCTCAGATTCCGAATGAACAGCTTCTTCTTGCCCTCATTCGGAGTCTCTGCAGATAGCACCAACCACCACACAACACATCACACAACACAGACACAGACACAGACACAGGCACGTGCAGGCGTGTGTGCCGCCACCGACTTGCGTTGGATCCATATGGGTCTGCGGCGAGTTTGATGAGCAGCTCCCGTCCGTCGAGCTGGACGGTGTCCTTGAGGATGCGGTTGACTGATGTGAGGTCCTTGTAGGTGACGAAGCCGAAGCCCTTGGACCGGCCGTCCCTCTCGCGCACCAGCACGGCATCGTCCACCTCGCCGTACGTCTTGATCAGATTGTTGAACGACTCGTCCGTCGTGCTGAACGCAACATTGCGAATCTGACGGTATGTATCACACACACACACACACACACACACACGGACGGGACGGACATACAACAAATAAAGACACACAATGAGAAGAAGGAGAAGAAGAAGAAGAAGAAGGTATGAAATACCTTGTGTTGTGTGTGGCATGGTTTGATATGGTGTGCCACCTGACCATACGTACCATGAGCCTCCTGCTGGCTGGGCTTTCTGAAACGATAGCCTCGGCCTCCTTGTACACATCGTCGTGGACGGATGCGGCCCGTGCGAGTATGTCGATGAGTTGGTCCTTTGAGAGAGGTGAGATCAGCCGTCGCACCTCCTCGAGTCTGCCGGGGGGAGGCTCCTCCATCTTGCGCTTCTTGTAGCCGCTGCCGGGTGTGCTCGCGAATCCTGCTGTACCGTTCGTTGCCACTGAACACACAACGCAGCACACACAGCACACAACCAGAGACATCCGAACCATTACATGACACCAACAACCACAGGCGGCAAAGTGCATGCATCACGCCCATCCCTGGCGGCCTTCAAGAGCCATCCGTCTGCTCTCCACTCCCCCTCTTCGCGCGCACCCAGCTGCCCGCCAGCTACGCCTTCCTGTCTTGTCTTGTGCGTGATCTCCACTGTCCTTCCCGGGTGCATGTGTCGGCTCCCCACCCTGTGTGTGTGCGGTGGCCAACCTGAGTTGTGAGGGAGGCTATGATCATAGTCTATTTCGCTCGGGAGAGCCGCGTCAAGCATGAACCAAACGCTGACGACGTCGACCCTCGAGCGCGAATGGCAACGATGTCACAGTCACCACCGGCTGCTTATGAAAGGGAGGGCAGCTCTGAGTAGACGCATCAGCCTCTGTCGGTTGAATAGGGCTCCGCATGAAACGAACTGAGGGGGGAGAATGGAGAGAAGCAAAAAATCGGCAAATGTTCGTCCACAGGAGCCTCCATCCTTCGTGTTGCTCGACTGTCTTGACTGAACTCATCCATCAGCCTCGCATCAGGTCACTTTGTTTGGTGCTCCCTGCCGAGGTGCTGCTCCATCCAGAAGGCCAGGGGCTCTGACGGCCGGCTGTCATGGGCTCTCTTACCTTTTGGGAGCATCCACTCGAGGCGTGGATCATCCCTGTGGCTGGAGCGGCCGTGTTTCTCGTCGTCTCAGTGGCGCTGCTGTGGACTCTTTGCTGTCGGTCGACGGCAATGAAGCAGCGGGCCAGAGAGCTGGGCGAGGCCAAGGCTGATGTGCAGAGGCTCGAGGCAATCATACAGGTAATGGAGGAGACACATATCGATGAAGGCGAGGAGCGAGATACGACGCTCCACCATGAGCCCGAGATACGACGCTCCTGGTGGCAACACAGCACATTCGGCGGAGATGCACAAGACCACAAGTTCACCCATGACCGCTGGAAGGAAGAAAAGGTGAGGACTATGAGGAGCTTCCGCCCGATGCAGGCCGTCTGATTGTGCTGCATGGTGTTGCTTGGATGTGTGTTTATTCAGCGCTTTGAGACGATTGAAGAAGACCATCCCGAGCCCCATGGCGAGAGGGAGACCGCTCACGCCAAACATGTAACAGGTAAAGAGACACGAGCACGCACCCCCGGATGTCCATCTCCTGGTACGCATCGATGCTTATTCGTGTCTCATGTTTTCCCTTCCCCTCGTTCGGCGTCCAGCTGTGATGCCCACAGCCGGGATGCTGCAGCACGAGCCCTCCCACGGAGCAACACAGTCCCCCGATCTGAAGGCAAGTGCGCATTCATTGCATGTATGCGATAGCTAATGGCTCGGCACTCTTTCTCTGCCTGTTGGTTCTCTGCATGCATTTATCCGATCTGCGCTACAGGTCGACACAATCGAGGCTGTAGCCGTTGCAAAGCGGCCAAAGCCTTCACTTAGCTTTCATCACCAGAGCACCGTCGACACGCAGGCCTTCGGTGGGGGCCTGGAGGACAGTGCTGCTCTCAAGGAGGTCAGTGAAAGTGACTGAGGAGGGAGAACGAGAACGAGAGAGATCAGATAATACAAGTCGATGCTCGCACGTACATGTGTTCAGCTACTGGTGGTGAAAGAGCAGCTGTCGCTGCAAGGGAAGGAGTTGGAGAGCTTACAAAAGGTACGATGCCGGGTCAAATGTGCCATACTTGGCTGGCTGATTTTTTTGCCGTGCATGTGTGTGCAAAAGTTGGATCAGCTGTTGGATGAGAATGCCGCCATCAAAGAGTCGCTGGAAGAGCTGCCAGCCGAGCCATTGGACGAGACGCTACACCAGCCTGCGGCGGTCGACCGATGGTGGGATGACGAAAGCGACACAGCTGTGAAGGAGACGAGGTGGTGGTGGGATGATCAACGATGGAGCGGGGAGACGGATGGCTTCGAGTTGCCTTTCAGGCTGAAAGCGTAGAGCAATAGGCGGGATACCAGCGGGGTGATGCGTTCATTTAGGCGCTGTCGTACAGCAATGTGGATTGATTACTATCACTGTAAGACAAGAGCCGACCTTTGTTTACAGCCGATGCGTTTACATGCCTGAGGCTCCCCCTCGAAAGCCACGACGTCCTGCATCGCTCCTCGGCCGCCCGTTCTCATCCAATTCTCTCCCCCTCCCCTCCTCCCCTCCCCCCTTCCCCTCCCCTGCGATGGCGTCGTTGGTGAAAAATCGCCTGGAGTGGTTGCTGCTGGAGAGCGGCGCCACGCCCATCTCACAGCTGGGACCCATGTGGACGCGCCAGTTCGGCCTCACACCGCCCTCGGCGGAGGACTTCGGCTCCCTGCTGCAGAGCATGGCGGTCGACAAGGGGGAGCTACTCATGGTGGAAGATCTCGGAGCTGGCAAGAAGGTCGTAGAGCTCGTACCTGAAGGTAGGCAGCGGCAGCGGCAGCGGCGGCGGCTGCAATGCCATGGGCAATGTGGATGCATTCGTCCGTCCATTTGTGTGTTTGCAATGGTGTGGTTTGTGGCGTGGTGTGTAGGTTTTGGTATCGTGCCGTTCAACGTGGGCGTTGAGTTGGAGCGGATCGTTGGGTCTGAGGGTGGCAGCATGTCGCTGTCGAGCCTCCGCGGCCGCTTCTCGGACAAGTTCGACCGCACCATCTCATCGCTTATCGATGAGAGGTGAGGCAGGGAGGGAACGGTCTTCCTTTACCCCTGTGGATCCATCCATCCATCCATCCATCCATCTGTGTGTGTGTGGTGTCAGTTTGCCCACGTACATCTCGCGCAACTGCAAACAGTATAGTGCACATACAACGAACCACACCTTGTCGCGACTAGCGCACCACACCACACCCCATCCATGTGTGTGGCCTCTCTCTCTGTGTGTTGGTCTGCAGCCTGCGTGTGTCGTCTGACGGCGAGGTGCACCCGGTGAAGCCCCCCATGCAGCCCCGCAACAGCAACGGCAATAACAAGAAGAAGAGCACCGCCACCAACTCCGCCAATAAGAAGCCCGGCCGCAAGTCCACCTCATCCGCACCGGCCCAGGCTGGGGCTGCGTCTGCGTCAACATCAGCATCAGCTGCCGGTCCCAGTCGGCAGCAGACGCACGGCCCCTCCCTCGAGCCGCTCGACCTGGCAGCCGTGGACACGACGCATGAGCAGAAGGGTCGGTGTGGGCCCCCCGAGATGAGAGCGGAGGGAGGGGGAGACACACTCACGGCTGCGTGTGGATGAATTGTTTGTGTGTGCGTGTGTGTGTGTGTGCAGGAGTTGTGTGTGGTGGTGGGGAGCGGGGTGTGGGTATGGGTGTGGGTGTGTGTGAGGGTGAGGGTAAGGGCGGGATGGTGCGTAGCTCTGTGGTTGGCGGTGTTGTTGGTGTGGGTGCTGCCAAGGGTGGCTCTGCCGGCGGCCAGCAGAAGGGCGTTGGGACGGGAGACTCCCCACAGGTGCATCTGATGGAAGAAGAAACAAACACCATGTGTGAGAGCATTTCGTGTGCGTGTTTGATGGACGGTGGATGTGGTTGTGTTGTGTTGTGTTGTCTTGTGCTGTGTGCAGATCGGGGTGTTGTATCCGCAGACTACCGATGCCGACAGAGAACTCGCACTCTACAAAATGGTAATCGGTGGATGGATGGATGGATGGGCACACAACCCACCAATTCACCTCCTCCCATCTGGCAGCATGAGCGTCTGTGGTCGCCCTCATTCGAAGAGGCCATCCGCCAGAAAATCGAGCGCATCGTCAAGGTACCAACACACACCCACACCCCCATCCAGCCATGCTGTCTTGCTCTCCTGTGGTGGTGTGGTGTGTAGAGTTGTTTGGAGTGTTTCGCGAGTCTGCCAGTGCACATAGTGGACACGTTGGAGTGCGGGTCATTCGCCAAGAAGACGGCCATCATCGGACACGACACCCACATCCGACTCGTCTTCATCACATCGGAAATCATGCACCCTATCCATGTGACGTGACACGCACACACGATGACGCCACACACACGGGGAGAGACAAAGAGGTGCGTGTGTGTGTGTGTGTAGGATGTAGCCAAGTTGTTGGGCCCGGCTGCCGTGCAGCTCATGCAGTCGAAGGAGCTGCACGCCGACTCGGTGGCCGTCAAATCGCCATACCTACAATTCACAGTCAGTACTTATGGATGCGCTGCGCATCCGCCCCCCACACACATAGCCTGCAGTGGTGGGGTGGATGTGTGTATAGGTTGAGGGTTGCCCCGTGACGGCGTGCTTCTGGAGCTGCGTCATGAACTACCAAGACACACTGCAGGTTCAGACGCACCTAAGCACCTGGCTATACAGTTTGCAGTGAGACAGAGAGGGCGCGGCGCAGCGAAGGATGTCGTGTGTGTACTGCCCTCCAGGGTATGTTTGAGGCCGAGCGGGCTCTGGCGGACTTCTACCGACCGGGGCTGCTCATCGCTCAGGTAGGAGGGTGAGACACAGCACACCCATCCCGCGTATTATACCCCATTTCCCTGTAGGCCAAGTTGTTCGTCCGCCAGCCCGACATCGTCAAGTCTGTGGTGCGGTGTGCCCTCGGGTCAGCACAGCGCACCGCTCAATGAGACACAAACACGCACACACAGACAGAAAGAGAGAGAGAGAGAGAGACATGGTGCATCCGACCCGTGGCTGGTTGTTTGTGCACTGTCTGTCAGTTCGTCTGAGTGGCGCGGGTTGTCTGCTCGTCTGGTGGAGACCATCGCCGTCCACTGCTACGAGCAGTCCGGCTACCAAACACTGCAGCAGGTGGACGGATGGATGGATGGATGGTCAGCATGATGGCGTGTGTGTGTGTTTGGTACATGGTGTGCAGGGTGTGGAGTTGATCGAGTCCTTCATGAACGAGATGGCTGTGCACAAGGTGATCCCCGCCTCGGCCATGTACACCATCGAGCAGATCCCGCCCCTCATGCTGGCACAGCGGCCGCTCGTGACCGACCTCGCCGACCCCACACTCAACCTAGCCAAGACATGAACACATAAACACAGCAATAAAGGTGCGTGTGTGTGGGGTGGGGGGGTGGGGGGGAGGGGGGGGAGGGAGGCTGCTGCTGTGGATGTGTGTATGTGTGTGTGTATGTGTGTGTATGTGTGTGCAGAGTTGACCGAAGGCAGAGTCCGTTCGTGTGACGGACAGCTTCACCGCCCCAGTCCCACCCCCATCCCTACCCCCAAGACCGACTCATGTGGAGTCTCGTGTGTACAGCCACCCACGGGTGCAGTGCACGCCACGCCATGACACACACGGACAAATGACACACCGACCAAAAGACAGAAGGACTGACAGACAGACAGACAGACAGACCCCCACACCCCCCCATGTCATGTAGCCCTGCCCGCACCACACCCCCTCTGCACAGCACATCCATATCGATGCTGCGGGAGAGGGGGACGGGCGGGGGAAGCCTACTTGGCTGTTGGACCGACCGACCCACCCAGTACATGGCCTTCGTGTGCGTGTGCGTGTTGATGTCCATGTGTGATATGTGGCTTCATTCGTTTACTCATGTCTGTCAGTGTCCGTGTGTCTGCCTCCCTTGCTTCCTTCATGAGCGTCCTCATCCATCCCTACGGTGCGGTGCAAACAAGCATCCAAGCGATCGATCGCGTCACTCTCACCCCTCTCACGTTCCCCCAACCCCCACCCCCACACACGCATCATTCATTCACTCATTCATTCATTTCGAGCTTGTCCAGTAGACGAGGAAGATGAGCACCCAGAATGCGATCTGCATCATGTTGGGCTGGCCGCTCCCCTGCTGCGCGTTCTGACCCGTCGCAGCCTGCGCCTGCGCCGCACCCAAGCAAACAAACCAAACACAAACAACCGCCACAGTTAGGCCAGGCCACGTGCGTCAAGAGTGAGTGCAGAGTGCACCCAGCCCACGCAATGGCTGACCGATTTCAGCAGCACGGTGTCCAGCTTGCCTCTCAGTTCCTCGTTCATGCCTTTCGAGAACGACTGACACACACATCCAATCCACACACAGAGGCATGATACAACCGTGTCTGTGCACCCCACCCCCGACGCACCCACCCCCCCATCCCCATCCAGTCACCGACTCACTCACCGCAAAGGAGTCTTGTGGGCCGTCCCCCGCCCCTCCCTGTGCGTTGTCGGCACTGGTGGTGCCGGCTGTCCTGTTGTCTCCTCCCGTGACAACGTCGCTCCTGCTCACGCTGCCCGTGGTCCGCTTCTTGATCTTCCCTGGGCCCTTCTCGCTCGCCGCCGGCAGGTTGGCTGTCGATGGGGGGGCGCCCTTCTTCCTCTGCTGCCCGAACAGACCTGCTTGATTGACAGGAGGGAACAACACACACACACACACACACACACAGAGGTAGACCGAGCGGTGTGGTGTGTGAGGGTGTGTGAGGGTGTGGGGTGTGGGCGCCCCGCACCGGTTTTGTCTCTGTGCATGCTGAGTGTGCTGACGCAGTTGAAGATGCGCACGTTGCTCTGCACGACCCCCGTGTAGAGCTGCTGGTTGATCGAGTCCTGGTCAACATACAGGAAGCTCGACAAGATCATGGCCGCACACATGACCGATGGGAACATTTGGCGCATCAACTGACACACAACACAACACAACACAACACAAAGCAAGCAAGACAGCACAGCCGCCGTCTATTATTTGTGTGTATGTGGCCACATCGGTGGAGTGGGCTCACGAGTATCTTTTCGAAGGGCAGGAGGTGCTGCAGCATGGGGATCGACCCATCGTCCTCCACGAACCGAAGATTCAGCTCAAGACAGAATGCAGCCACGACATACACCAGAAAGATCTGCACACATCCCAACACGAACACATAACCTTCGTCCTATGTGCCCCGGAGTGCCACATCCATCTGATGTCCGCCCGGCCAACGGACTTGTCTGGCGAATTGGATGGGTTTAGCAAGTGTGAGGAGGCAGCCGACGGAGAAGAGCAGGAGGTAGGAGACGAAGCTGAGCATCACGATCGTCTGGGAGGTCTCGTCCGTCACGTGACCTGTGTTGTGTGCATGACACACAGCACACGGCCCAGCCCACAGGTGAGGTGGAGAGTGCACTGGATTGGATTGGTTGGCGCTCACTCACTCCCTCACTCCGTCACTGACTGACCGTCGTTGTAGTCTCCAAACCGGTTATAGTTGCTCTTGAGGACGTTGTTGGACAGCGTCTCATACGCCTGAACACAACACACCCACACACACCCACACACAGCCACACACACCACACCACACACAGGAATCAGTCAGCAGGCCGTTCTGGGTCCGTCCGTGTGTTGGGCGCATCCATCGCATATCACACCTTACCTTCTTGAGGTAGTAGTAGAACTCCTGCGCTTCAGGGCTGCTGTTCTTGTCCTACAGGCACCGCCACGCATGGACTCATAACACGCCTCGTCTTGCCTCGGCTCGCTCACCCGCTCGCTGACTGGCTCACCGGGTGGTACATCTGGGAGTGTCTTCTCCATGCCTGGTAGACGACCCGCTGGTCGGACCCCACGGGGATGCCCAGCATGTCGTACAAATTGGCCGTCTCCTTGTACGTCTGGTGGACACATTCACACACACAGACACACACACCCCACGACATGATGGATGGATGGCAGACCTGGACGCGCCCGTGTGGCTTCCTTGTTTGCTTACCTCCATCCACCCCAGCGCGACCACAAACACCACCGCGGCTACCAACGCTGCGCACACACAATCACACACACACACGCACACGGAGAGAGAGAAAAGGAATCACCCGTCCGTCTGCTGTGTTGTGCTTGCAGATCGGCCTGACACACCTACCTATGTTTTTCCATCGTTCAGATTTGCGTGTGACGAGGAAGCCTGTGATGGGCGCACCGACGACGCAATGCAGCAGCAACCGGTCCATCAGTGACCAGCAGACAGCGACAACGAAATTTCTGGAGGAGTAGATGAATCAACAAATGCGACTCGCCGCTGAGAGCAAATGGTCCTAGATAAGTGGGGAAAGGTGAGAACACGCTGGAGGATCTAAGCTCGCAGCTAAGCTCGCAGAGGTCGCCGACGAGGGGTGAGAGAAGCAGGAGGGCTGAGGCTGCCTTTGTCCTTCTCTGCCATCGGGCATGGCGGCCTGACCACCCAACTCAGGAGCTCTTCTCACGAGCGGGTCAAGCAGAGCAGCGTCAGGCCGCTGAGGCCCTGCAACCGTCTGCCATCGCTGTGGGAGTTGTGCTGTGGGGAGTTTGAAGCGATTTTGGAGCGTCTTTCTTTCTGTGGTGGTCTTTGGTTGATTGAGAGCATCGCCGACTGACTCAGCAGCGCCACACCCACACAGACACCATCATGAAGTAAAGGGAATAAGCAGCATAGCATGGGAGGGAGGGAGGGAGCCAAGCCAGGCGACACACATGTGCTCACGGACGCAGGCAGGGAGGGACACACAAGGAGAGGAGACGAGCAGTGTGTGTACCATGGTGGTTACTTGGTTGATGTGTGTGTCTGGATGGATGGATGGATGTGTCCCTCGGTGTGTGTCATGTCTGTTTGTTTGTGCTATCTGTGCTGTACCTGTGTTCGTTCGTTGCATGTGTGTGTGTGTGTGTGTGTGTGCAGGTTGATCCAAAGTGTCAAACGGCGCATGGTAACCGACACAGTAAGGAACCACACACACCACACACCACGCCAACCAAAAGAGAAGATCAGGCGCACACAGACAGACATACAGACAGACAGACAGGCTCGCATAGAAGACCTTTCTTCTATCTCGTCATGCATCGTGACATGCATGGCTCTCTTGGTGTGTGTGTGTCTGTGTCTGTGTCTGCATGGACCTCACTCCATTCGCTCAACTGCAGGGTGCCAACGAGAAGCCGGCGGTGAGAAAGACTCCAACACCGCACCGTTTTTCTCTGATCCGTGCGTTGTGTTGCGTGTCTGTCTGTCTGTCTGTCATTGGTGCCTGCCTTTGTGTGTGGTGTGTGCAGCCCAAGGCAGGTGCCCCGTCCGGTCAGCCTCCTCCCGCATCGCCGCCATCCGCACAAACCTCCACACCGGGTCGGTGGGTACCGTACCCGAGGGCATGGCAATTGGATGGCAACCACCTGCACGCGCTCATCTCTCTCTGTATATGTGTGTGTGCGATTGCTTTACAAACCAGCTCCCAAGGCAGCAGGGGCGGTGAGTCCGAACCGCGGTGTGGGTGCGATGGCGCCGCCCGGCCGGGGCAACAGAAACGCCAACACCGTGGGCGAGGAGAACCCATTCGCCGCACTGCCCGCACTCAGAGGTACACACACACACACACACACACACACACAGAGAGAGAGAGAGAGACGGACACACAGAGAGAGAGAGGCAAGAAACAGAGAGAGGAGGGGCAAGATGCGTCTGTCTGTGTGCATGGCGTGGCGCATCTATGGTATCAGAGGCGCCAGCGAGTGAGCGAGTGGAGTTGTTCCGCAAGAAGCTGCAGGCGTGCTGTTACGTATACGACTTCAAGCAGCCCGACGCTTACATGAAGGAGAAGGAGGCCAAACGACAGACGCTACTGGAGATTGTCGAGTGAGCGAGCCACGAGTGAATCAACGCAGACACACCGACAACATACACACACACACACACACACATACACACACACAGAGAGAGAGAGAGAGAGATTAGATTGATGCACGTCTCTCTGTGTGTCTGTCTGTCTGTCTGTCTCTGTGTCTGTTGGTTAGGTACGTCAACAACACTCGCAATTTCTACAACGAGCAGATCATGCAGGACGTCGTGCACATGGTGGGTGAGCCATATGAGCCGGTAGAGACCATCTATCCCACTCGTGTCCGGTGTCCGGTGTGCGTTGTGTGTGTCAGGTTGGCATGAACATTTTCCGTGCGCTGCCGGCCTCCACGACGCAGAACGTCATCACATACGACCCGGAGGAAGAGGAACCCACGCTAGAAGCGTGCCCACCCCACACTCACACACCCCCACCCCACACACACATCTCTCTGTCTCTGTATGTGTGTGTGTGTGTCTGGCTGTGTTGGTTTGTGCTGTGCAGGTCGTGGCCGCACCTGCAGATAGTCTATGAGTTCTTCCTGCGGTTCGTGGTCTCCAATGACGTCGACCCAAAAGTCGCCAAAAAGTTCATCGACCAAAACTTCGTTGTCAAGGTCAGTCAGCACACGTGATGGAGTGTCTTGGCACGGTGTGGTGTGTCTTGTGGTGCGACACTGATTCGTTCTTCGTTCGTTCATGTCTGTCAGTTGCTGGAGTTGTTCGCGTCTGAGGATCCCCGTGAGCGCGACTACCTCAAGACCATCCTGCATCGCATCTACGGCAAATTCATGGCACTCAGGTACACACACACACACACACAGAGAGAGAGAGAGAGAGAGGTTGAGGCGGTCGGAGAGAGAGCCGACAGGCAGAGCACACACACACACACACAGAGAGAGAGAGAGACTACACTCCCACTTTGACTCTATGTGTGGTTTGATGTGATGGCTTTGCAGGTCGTTTGTGCGGAAGGCCATCCAGAACGTCTTCTACAAGTTCGTCTACGAGTGCGAGGTCCGCAACGGAATCGCTGAACTCCTCGAGATCCTCGGCAGGTGCGCAGACAGACGTGCCGACTGACACACACACACAACACACACAGACACACATACCATTTGTCCATCCAGGCCCTGTGTGTGTTGTGTGTTGTGTGTGTGGCTGTCTGCAGTATTATCAACGGGTTTGCGTTGCCGCTGAAGGAGGAGCACCGTCAGTTCCTGGAGCACTCGCTCATCCCCCTCCACAAGGCCCGCACGCTCAACGCATTCCACCAGCAACTCGCTTACTGCATGACCCAGTAAGGACGCCTGGCTGGCTGCACACATGTGTCTGTGTATCGCACACACCGGTGGGTCTCCCCCCCTCTCTCTGTGTGTGTGTGTGTCAGGTTTGTCGAGAAGGATCCCCGCTTGGCCGAGACGATTCTGATGGGTTTGCTGCGGTACTGGCCGGTCACCAACACACCAAAGGAGGTCCTATTCCTCAACGAGCTGGAAGAGGTAATGGACACACAGGAACGACCAACAGAGAGACAGACAGAGAGACCACATCGATCCATCCATCCATCTGTGTGTGTGTGGGATGTGGCAGATATTGGAGTTGACGCAGCCGCCCGAGTTTCAGCGTGTGATGGAGCCCCTGTTCAAGAAGGTGGCCGCCTGCATCGTCAGCCCACACTTCCAGGTACACACACAGACAGACAGACGGACGGATGGATGGATGGATGGATGGCCACACACACCTGCACACGACTGCTGTGGTGCTTTGTGTGTGTGTGTGTGTGTGCAGGTTGCTGAGCGTGTGCTGTTTCTGTGGAACAATGATTACATCGTCAAACTCATCAACCAAAACAGACAGGTACACACACACACACACACAGAGCCAGCCGCCAGCCGGCCGTGCGTCCCACCCATTCCCTCTCCTCTCCCTTCTATCTCTGCAACTCACTCACTGCAGACGCTGTTCCCGATTGTCATTGGTGCGCTGTACAAGAACTCCAAACACCACTGGAACAAGTAATAACCACCAACCACACCACCCACAAAACATGACTGACACACACCACACACATACACACATACCTAGAGGATGTGATGTGTGGTGATGCATGTCGCTTTGCTGCGTGTGTGTCCCTGCCTGCCTGTCTGCCTTTGTTCCATCCATCCGTCCATCCATCCATCGGTGGGTCAGCACTGTCCACGGCTTGACGTACAACGTGTTGAAGCTGCTGATGGAGGCCGACCCGCCGCTGTTCGACGAATGCTCAAACAAACACAGAGAGTCGGAGGAAAAGTCAGTAAACCAAACCAAACCCACTGACTGCATTGGCCGTCCCCCCCCCCCTCACTCACCACACACGCCACGCAGTCGAGATGAGGCAGCAACGGCATGGTTTGTGTGTGCGTGTGTGTGTTGGCCTGCAGACAGAAGCAGTACGAGGATGACCGCGCGCGCAAGTGGGCGTCGCTGCAGACCCAGTTCGAGGCCAAGATGTCCCTACCGCGGTCAGCTCTCAACACGGCCGAGCACGACCTCCACGGCGAGGGGGCCACGGCCATGGTCACCTCATGAGCAACAGCCCACAACACCCCACACCCACACCCACACCCACTCTCTCACCCACGCTCAGCTCGCACACTTTTCCCTCTTTGCGTGCTTTCGTTCCTCTCCGCCTGCCCACGTGTGTGTGGGTGGTGCGACATAGACAGACCGGTCGGCCCGTTGTCTTTTTTCTTTCTGTGGCCGGCCGCCAGCTGTGTTTGTGAGCCAGGTGAGATGGGTGTGGGTAGTGAGTGGTGCGTTGCAGTGCAGCCAACAGGTGACAGCCAGCCAGACAGGCGAGGGAGGGAGATGGGATGGGGGGCGTTTAACAAACATGCACCCACCACACACACATACACATAATGACAGTACAGGTTGTTGATTGAACTGGTTGAGCTGGTTGAGCTGACACACACACACGTCCCCTCTCTCCCTGTCTGTCTGTCTGTCTGAGTGAGTGTGTGTGTGGGGGGGGGGGGGGGGGGGGGGG